TACCTCACAGAGTGTCCCTCGGGCTGCGAGGCCCTGGTGCTCTCCCACGGCCCGGGCGAGCACTGTCCCGGGAGCCCCTGCACGCGCACTTGGAGGGTCCATGTCTTCCGGGTCACTTCTGCCTCTGTGCATGCGCAGCGCACCCTGCCCAACTCCACAGAGAACACGTGAAAGGGTTCCCGCACGCGGGCTGAGCACAGCCAGCTGTGGCCCCCAAATCCACCTCCAGTGAGCATGCTGGGTCCTCCCCTGTCACTCACTTGGGTGGTTCCTGCCACCCCCACAAGTCTAGGTCCTCCCTTCCTACATAGCTAGCCCAGTGCGATGGTGACCATCGGGCTCCACCACCGGTGGACGGTTTGACTTTGTGAGGAAAGCAGCCAGAGAATACAACCCGGCTCTCTGCACTGTAGCACTCTGGGCTCTCACCCAGGGCTTAACCAGAGTGTCCTGGCTGGCTTCACTCGTTCAAGCCGTATTTCCCCAATCTGATTGCCACACAGAACATCCAGACTGTTTTGCAGTGAAAACCTGGGGCCATTTTGCCAGCAAATGTGGAGCTTATGGTCATGAGTAACTGCCGGCTGCTCACAAAATGAAATGTGGGATTATCGCTGTCCCTTGCCCACTTCTCTCACTGAGGTGACCGTCTCCTCCCAGGCAAAGCACATAGCAATGAGGTCGGCATCAACTTACCTGAATCCCATAGTTTCTCATCACAAGCAATTTGTAGCAGGTCTGACATGAATTCTAGCTTCATCTATCATGTGGCTCAACATTTAATCTAGTCTCATGCATCAGATATGTGTAGTGTTCTGAATTCTGCCATCTTCACCTTGAGTGAAAAAGGAAACCATAAATCTCAGACAGATGGAGCCTCTTCCTTTCACCTGCCTCAGGAAAGTTCTGGAGAAAGAACCAGCAAGATGGATGAACTGAGTCCAAAGTGGAAGTGTGGGTAACCGTGACCAGCTTCTCAACTCCTAATGGCCCTCAAAATATGAAATCTGTTCTCAGGAGTGTTTTTCAGAACTTCTGGAAGCTTTCACTTGGTCAGTGCATTTCTCATGTTTCATAGAATGAGTTGTACAGTCTTTCCTTTGAGCCAGGCCTACCCCAAACCCATTCTGGTCCAGAAGCCTGGGAGGCCCCTACCTGCTGCGCAGTCCCCTCTATGCCAGGACAGGTGGGCAGGGCACATGACCAAGAAGAGGCTGGCCTGAGGCCCTGCTATGCCACACTCAACTTGGGTGTAGTGAGAAGATAAACAGGACACTAGATCACGGGCCTCAGGCCTGCAGCTGAGTCCAGGCAGCCTGCAGGGTCCAGGGACAGAAAGCTAGAGTCCCACAGCCTTCTCCTTGGTTTTAGGATTTTAATAATGGGGGCAGTGGGCAGAGTGCGAGCAGCTGAGTGAGCTAAGAAGCGCCTGTCCTACAGACCTGCCTGTGTCACCTGCTGTTGTGCCCAAGAGCCCCTGAGCGGGGGCAGCAGAGGGAGGTGGGGGTGAAGACCACCCAGCAAATGGTCATCAATGTCGGGACTTGTCTGGCATCATCTTGGAAGGCTGGGGGAGACCACTATGAGGAATACTGGTCTGCAGAGGGGGGAGGCCTGGCTGGGTCGGGGGGGGGGCACTGGACATAGCGCTGGGAAGCACTGAATTGGCTGGGAGCTGAGGGCCTTCCCTTTCTGGACACTCTCCTGCCCTTCCTGAGTTAAGCCCACACTGGACATCTGCCCTCAAGACCAGAAAGGCCCCAGCTGGAAGCTGGATGAGAGGCGATCCCCCCCTCATGGGGAGTCTGAGCAGGGACGGGGCACAAGCAGTGACATTACCATTAGCTGTTCATCTGGACAGCAGTTGGGACAGGACTAAGGAACCACAGATGCTCGTTCAGCTGCTAGTTACTTCAGCCCCCTCTGGAAGCAATGTGGCTTGAGAGGCCAGAAAAGAAGCTGCAGGTGAATCCAGGGCTCAGTGTAGCACACACGGGAGGGGAGGGGTCTCCACTCTGGGTCCTTCTAGTCTCAAACCAACTTTCAAGGGGACCTCCTCCAAGGAACTACCTGCCCACGTTTCCTTCCACCCCCAAATACCTGACTTTCCTTTGGTAGGAAATGTTCTAGAATCTTACTTCTTAAACCATGGGTTGTGACCCCATATGGGGGTGCATAACTGCAAGTGGGGGCTGCAAAAATTTGGCAATGGTAAAAGGATTTTTAAACATGCAATTCCCAGAAGTGAATTCATGATCAGCTGTGTGATGAACCCGAGGTATTCCTGGGAACGTCTGCTGGGTTACATTTCTGGGACAAAAAGGAATCATGAGTGGAAAGTTTAAGAAGCCTGGTCCAGAGGTGTTTGGTGGAAAAACTACCGGCCAACTGCGCCACAACATTTGAACCTATCTTGGAGGTGAGAGGGAAGAGTACTGGGGAAGGGAGCATCTGCAGAAGGGACTGCAATTCCCCCACTTTCGGTCTCCAAGGCAGGAGCTGAGGGCCCTGCCTAGCGGAAGCACCGGGGAGCCCAGGGCATGCGCAGCAGCAGGTGTGCTCGGACTCAGACAGACACAGGGACACGGACAGAGAGCCGCACAACTGCTCACTTCAGTTTTTTTTTTTACTTGAAAACTTGTTTAACCACCAAAGTTCAGCAGTTACAAACCTGTACACTGTTGGTTTTTTATGTGTGCATTTAATTTTTATTTTTGGCTGTCCATTTTGTTTTACTTTTATATATTTTTTTTTTAAGAAAAGGACATAAGACTGGAGGCTCTGACAGTGACACAGCACCTCCATCTCCACAGTGGGGGCCAGGCCACCCTTCGCAGAGGTGTGGCAGGTGGCAGGAGAGTTCACCATTGGGGGCAGAAGTGACCCACTTCCTCCGGTGTCTGAAATGGAAATTGGGCACCTCCTCACCAGGCAACACACCCCTTTTGAAAAAGGGTAATTAAAACATTTTCATGAAAACAGAGAAAACCAGCTGAAAATCAGTAGAACAAAAGAAAGGCTACAGTACAATTTTAAATGATTAGAAAACATCATATTTGAATCTAAATTCTTGTGTGTGCGTGTGTGTCTGTGTGTAGTTACCTAAAAGGTTTGCAAACCAACAGCATGATGAATCAGCATTTTATACGCCCACCCCAAGTTAAAGCATCCTGATTGGCATCAAGTACAGCATCTAAAAAAAACTCTGGAAAATGGAAGCCATTATGTACAATCTCATAAACATTTTACATACCAGAACATCCATCTTTCACAAATAGCTGTTTGCTCAGGAATGTTCACGAAACAGCCTTTCAGACACAGCTGAAAAGGAACTGCTCTGTTTCCTAAACACACGAGCCACTTTCCCGGGCTGTGGCTCAGGCTTGTGAGTGTTCCTCGATGGTGATTCCAGCGTCCGCCTGCTGGGAGGAGCCATGGCACACGCTTCGGGCCACATACGCGACACACAACAGAGGACACAACCCTCCAAGGCCTCCCCTCACTGGAAGACGAACTATGGCCTTTGTGGACTATGATGCACTTATCATTATTGCTTTCGTTACTGGGCAAGAGAAGAAACTGCTTCTTTTCCTCTCTCGGAGCCAGTGAGCTCCATGCGAGCTGATGCCACAACCCAGGCGCAGCCGGAAGCTTAAAGAGACTTGGACCAGAAAAGCGCCTCGGTGTCTGCACAGAACTGAACCTGGTGAGGGCACTGACCCACCAAAATGATGAGGCTGAACAGGTGCCTCCTCCCCCTCTCCGTTTCCCTGGTTTGGAAATCAAGTCTGGACGCAGAGTGTGCGAGTCTCCTGTGAATGGTGGGTTGGCGGGGCGCTGGCTCTTCCTGCTGTCTCACGTGGAAGCACGCGTCCCCTTGGCCTCATGGATCTGCTCTTTATTCTGACTTTGACTGAGGAGACACACACTGAGAGACAGGGTGCTGGGCAGGAAGAAGTCAGGCTCTCCAAGGGCGTGCATGTGCATGACTTCCCTTCTCGGAAGTGCAGATGTTCCTGAGGGTGATTCCAAGTGAGGTCCAGGCAGGGGCGTCAGGACCCCTTGCAGGCTGTCACACCAGCCTCTGCTTGACTGCGGCCCGAGTCCTCAGACTTCACCTGGATGTCCCAAAGACCCTTTCGTGGCCTGGCAAGACATGAGCCGTGGAAGTGGCCTAGACAGAACTCAGCAGCAAAATACTCGCCCAAGAGAGTGGATAAATTAAGCAGCAATTCATTCCTTTTACAGCCCGTTTTGCATAAATACAACAGACATCGGCAGTCTTACTGCGCTTCCCAGGCCCGTGCAAACCCAGGAAGGCACCCGCCTCATTCTGTGAACTGCTTCCCCGGGGAGGCACGCGGTGCCAGGCAGGGAGACACACCAGTTGGCTGAACTGGCTTCCATGTGGCTTGTCATGGTGGAGGAGGTAGGAGCAAACACAAGACTGGTGGGGAAACAAAAAAGCCAAACAAAAACACCCCAACAGCTAATGTAATCCAAGTCCAACTGGACTTGGTGACTGGCCTGAGTTTAATTCTGTAATGATCACTCCAGCCCATTTTAGAAAATCTTCATTTGGCAAAAGCAGTGTTTTCGTAAAAATCCAAAGAATGTGGCATCTTTACCTCTCTTCCTGAGTGGTGGAGGGAGGGCTGCAAAGAGGCTGATGAGGCTTCTCCAGAGTCCTCTTTTCTAGCATGTTCCAGAGTGGGAGTGCTGGGCATCGCATGGTCCAGCGGCAGCAGGTAGACCCCACAGTGGCAGGGAGCTGCACTGGGAGGTGGGTGGGCAGATTGTTCTGAGCCCAATCGGCTGCCCCACTTCTCTCGTGACATTAATGGTCCTAGGGATCCTTCCAGCTCTCTGCCACTGCATTTACCCCACCACACCCAATCTTCCTTATAGCCCACTGGGAAATCGGATTTTCTGTGGAGTGAAAGGCATCCTACGTCTAAAGGCAGTGGATGAGGAGAGAGCCTCTGTATGTGTGTGTGTGTGCGTGTGTGTACGTGCATGCATGTGTGTGAGTGTGTGTGTGTGTATGTGTGGTGGGGGTGGGGGTATGGTGGCTGCGCAGCCTCTGCAGAGGCAGAACATGACCCAGAGGACGGTTTGCATAGCTCGGGGCAGTAGGCCATCTTCCCAGAACTTCTGTTCCTCCAGAGGCCTATGGTCTTCTCCCCAGGAGCAGCCATGTGTCGGGGGAGGGACAGAGGGTTGGTTTTACTTTGATGTCCTTTATATCACTGCATGTTTGCAAGTGCAGCAGTGACTCTGTTAGACCATTAATTCATCGTTTTCTCTGCTTGTTGCAAATGTGCTTCTCACATAATTAAACTAGTGAAGACGTAATTTCTCAAAAGCAGCCTGAGTGAGATTCATTTATTTCAAGACCACAGTGTGGGCAAGCTTCCATGAGGGGTCTGAGCGAGAGAGGCTGGGCGGTCTGGAAGTGTGTGTGAATTTGGGAAGGAAAAGGAATTTTAACACTGATCTTCAGAAACACTGACTCCTACAAAGAAGTGGGTTGAAGAAGCAGAAACAAGGGAAGTGTCTGAGTAGCTGTAACAGACTGAGGATAGTGCCACATCGGCAGAAACTGTGTACACTCAGATCTGCCACGGAGCAGATGTGCAAACGTGCATTCCCACTGTCACATGCATGGTGCTCGGTTGTCACCATGTCACCAGCTGACCCCAGCTCCACACTCTTCCTGCTGGGCTTCTCCCATGTTCTGGAGGTTTCTCCTGCCAACTTGGGAAACATGTGGCCCAAATCCACACGTACCCGGAGAGGCTTCTGGGTGGAATGAAACATTCCACGTTGTTGGAATTGTTGTTTAGTTCTGAAAAATTCTAACAAAAGACTGCATTTTTTTTTAAAAAAAAGCAGTTTTGCTTTTAGGAAATATAAATGGCAGTACCAAAGCAAAGTTAACCCAACTGGAGTAAACGGTGGCATTTGGTGTTACTCGATCAAGTTTCAGGGTAGAGCACCTGCAGGGCCGGGGCTGCAGACTCCAGGCCTCTTCTGAGAGCATCACGGCTGGGCCGGGCTCCTGCCCGAACATGGGGACTGTCCACCCGTTCCAGCAGTGGCACAAGCCAAATGATACGGACCTCTTATCTGTCACATGGAGAACTGTGATTATCTGGGTGGGAACTCGGGGAGTCTTTTCTACCCCCGAGTCTCCTCCTGTGGACAATTTGTGAATTCTGATTATGCATCTAAGTGGCTGTTGTTCTAGCGAACAACATACTAAAATACAAGCTTTTCCTGTTCAGCTTCTACTCTCACAGCAAAGCCATTCTGTCGCAGGGCTAGAGTCCGCCTAAGAGTCAGGAACGCTTGCTGGGAAACACAGATAATCACACTCCTCTCATGCTGAGACACTGACGTTCTCCCCACCCACAAATGAACCCTGAATCTCCTTGTATTGCTCTTCACGGACATTTTCCTCAGAGATCAGAAAACCTGACTCTGTGACACTGGATGCTTAACAGAAGCAAATAGGAATTACCGAGCATACTAAACATTTTATCCAAACCTAATTTTTTTTTATAGCTGAAAATCAGGCAGCTTAATTCTTTAAAAGTTGATTTTAACGGCTTCAGCCCATTTTCTTACTCATCCACTAACACGTTTCTCTTTTGCCTACGAAACTAGCTTGCATCCATAGAAACTACCTTCATTCCCCCCGCCCCACGCGACGCCGCAGTGACCCCCCAGCAGGACCCGAGGCCTGGGGGGGGCCCCACTGCTCCCTCCACACCTGGGTGCCTGTGTGCTGGTGAAGGGTGGGGCGCCCCGCAGGGTCCACGGGCCACTCCGAACTCAGGTCCGGGCCCGCCTGTTCTCTGCGCCTTGGCTTCCCCCACTGGCCAGCCCAGCCAGCGCCCGTTCGCCTTTCTCGTCAGTCCGTCCCAGGGAGCCCCGGTCCTACACCTGGGTCTGGTGCTGCACCTCCAGAAAGGGAGGATGCAGGTGGTCCCCGCCCAGCTCTGCCCCCATGTCGCTGCTGCAGTCCTGGGGCTCGTGGGGGACTGAGGTGCCCCTGCGGCTGTCTGGGGGCCGCCTGGACTCGGGACCTGGGCACACAGGCATGGTGAAAGTACTGAAGTCACAGGGGGCCCCTGCTGGGCCAGCAGGGTCGGGTTCATGAGGGAAGGCATGGGGCGGCAGGTACTGGCTGGGGTGGAAGTGAGCCCGGTGCCTGCGGCCTGGGCTCAGGCTGCCACTGAGCGGGGGCTCGTACTGCTCCGGGAAGTCCTCAGGCAGTGGTGGCGGCAGCTGGTCCCGGCTCAGGAAGTCCTCGTCGGGCGGCGGCGGGCACTCACTATCCACGTCGTAGCCCCCCAGGTAGTAGTCACTCTCCAGCTCCCGAGCGCCCGCTGCCCCAGGCCCAGTGTCCGGGCTCTCATAATGGGGCACCTCCTCGATGTCCGACAGGCGTGCGCCTGGCATCCAGTCCGATGTGTCCCAGTGATAGGCTGTGGGATAAAGGCCTCCATGTCACTCCCAGCCTTGGGCACACAGCCCGCCTGCTGCGGTCCCTTCCTGGAGTCCCCGGGCAAAGCCACATGCTGGCTAAGCACCAGGCAGGACCATATGGGAGCCCGCAGCAGTCCAGGGTCCACCCACACGTGCGGGGCCTGGTAGCCACATGCTGGCAGGGACGCATGCCATGGAGAAAAGAGCAGGCGGCAGCACCTCCCAGGAGCACGTGGGAGGCGTGGGAGGGACTCAGGTTCCCATCCAGCCCCCAGCCCCGACCCTGGAACATGCAGATTCAGACCAAAGAGGCTCAGAGGGAGGAGGAGAGGGAGGAGGAGGAAGCTGGCAGCTCAGGGAGGAGGGCACAGGCGCTGCTGGGCACCGGTCACCTCGGTTGTAGTTCTGTCCTGGGTCCATGACAGACACTGTTCAAACACAAGCAAGAGTGAGGCGAGAGCACGCGGGGTAGGACAGAGGGGCCGTAGAGCCCAGAGAGCCAACCCCCACTGTCCAGGGGAGCTGTGAGCACTGAGAGGCCCCCCACTGTTTGGGGCACTGTGAGAACCCCCTCCCCTGCAACTGTCCAGGGTGCGGTGAGCACTGAATGATCCCCCACTGTCCAGGGGAGCTGTGAGTCTCCCCCACTGTCCAGGGGTGCTGTGAGCACTGAGTAACCCCCTGCACTGTCTGGGGGCGCTGTGAGGATGGAGAGTGCCCAGTCCCCCACTATTACTGAGGAAATGGAATGTGTCCCTGACAGTCCCTGGACACACTGGGTCACTAAGTCCACATCTGTGGGTGGAGCAGCCCTTGACTAGGCCATATGGGCTCCTGCCTGAAGGGTTCTGGGGAAGAAACCCGTCTGAACAGGCTATCCTCCTCCTGGAAGGCTTTCCTCAGAGAGAGTGGCCCACATACGAGAAATAAGCTGCCTTTGCTGTCAAGCTTAGAAACTGCTCTGATCCAGGGCCAGAGAGAGCTGAGTGTTGGCTCAAGTGATACACGCAGGAGCCCAGGTTCGACCCCAGCCACCCCGGGTTGACCCTTCAACACACAGCTGGGAGTAGCCCTGGAGCACTGCCCAGCCTAGCTCCAGCACCATGAAAGGCCGATCCAGAAGCTGCTGTTGTCTCCTCGGAAACAGCGGCTGGTTAAGGTGCTGGGAACTGAACCCTAACCCTGGGTCTCACATGCAAGCACATGCCCTACTGCCGAGCCGCGACCCTGCTCCCCAAACCACCCCCATTCCAAAGAACATTCTTTACACAGAGAAGGTGAGGAAAACAAGCAAGTACCTTCATCCTCTATCGAGTCAACGACATTGTTGACAAGCTGAATGACAGTCACTATGGACGCTTGGAGGCAGAGAAGAGGATGGGAAGAGAAGGACGTGGTCAGTGATGCTTGGCAAGTCCCGTCTCTAACTTCCCACCATGCACACAGCCCCCATGGACACTGGAGTTTGCGCTCCCAGAACGGGGACACTGCGGCCACTCAGGGTGCAGAGCCAGACCACTGCATCCCGGAGATTTCTGGCCCAGCAGATGGAGACCCGTCCCACCCCTATTCTGGGGCTGAGGACTTGCTGATGTGTTGGGCAGGCTTCTGGTAAGCAAAGGTCAGCATGGGCTGTCCCTGCTAGACCTGACAGCATGCCCCACAAGGGGCACCTGCCGTGCCATGGAAACAGGAGGCGAGACTCAAAGGGTGGGGTGGACACTGGAAGGTGGGTCCAGCTCAGTGCTGCCTCCCTGACAGTGTGGACAAACCAGTGTCTGGGCCTGCTTTCATGGAGCACCCCTGAATGCTCAGGGCACTATGAATGTGTAAGTGCGCACATGCGTGCACGCACAAACACACACACACACACACACAACACACACACAGCCGAGGGCAACACCAGCTGGCACCTCTGCTTGAGGGGAGTTCCCATTCTGGGACTTTTGTGTATAGTCTGGCAGGACCAGGAGCAGCCTCATCACTCACTCCACCCCGGAGGCTGCTTCCCAGAGCCGGGCGGGCCGTGCCAGTGTCCTAGATGTGGCTGGGGCACAGCGACAGTCAATTTTCTGCTCTCTGATGCAGGAGGTGTGTGCGTGGGCCAGGCAGTCATGCCCAGAAAGGACATGTCCATAAGCTGCCCCCTCTGAGCCCTCCTTGCTCCCTGGCATGTGAGACCCACTTGCCTGCGTCCCCCCCCCCCCCAGCACCCCAGCAGAACCCACACACAACCCTCAGGATGAAAGGATGCACCCTTTTCACTGGCTTCCGGTACGTGACACTCAGGGAGCCCAGCTGGACTCTCCTAACCTGAGAGAGAGCTAAGGTCTCTCTCAACCCCAAAGCTGTGTACCCAGGGTCTGGGAGGTTCCCAGGAAGGAAGGAGGGCAGGAGGTGGATGCCCTGGGAAGGAGGCTCCCTGGGAGGAAGGAGGGCTGGAGGTGGGTGCCCTGGGGAGGGGGATCCTGGGAATGAGGGTTGAAGATGGTGCTCTGGGAAGGGGGGCTCCCTGGAAGGAGCCTTGGCTCCGACTCACCAAAGGTGGGAGTGGGGGCAACACCCAAGGTAGCCAACCTGGGTGGGTTCCTTTGCCACATGCTGGGTCCCACATGCAGCACATGTGTCGGACCCAGGCCTGAGGCGTGGGTGCCCCACGAGAGGAAGACCCCGGGGCCCACTCACCATTGTCATCCCCGGAATCTGACTGGAAGGAGCTGAGCGACTGCACCTCGGAGCTGCTGCCTTTGGTGCTGCTGGTGAAGCACGTCACGTCTCCCGCCTCATCAGCTGCCTTGTCTGTGTGCACAGTGGGAGAGAGCAGAGATGGCCCCTTCGCCTGTCTGCGCCTGCCCCGCCTGTCCAGGGCCCCTGCGGGCGCTTGGGTATGTTTAGAGAAAGCGGAGTGTACTGTGGCGGGCAAGAGCAGCCCTCACAGCTGATCCCTCCCGGGAGGGGCAGTACTGGGCCCCAGCCCCCTGGCACCACAGCTGAGCCATGCAGCGTTGACTCTGGAGAAGGACATTACAGTGGAACTGCAGGGTGACTGTGCGGGGCGTTGGCCTTGCATGAGGCCAACCTGGGTTCCATCCCCGGCACCCTGTATGGTCCCAAGTCCCAGCAGCAGTGATCCCTGAGTGTAGAGCCACAAGACCTGAGCACTGCTGGGTGTGGCCAAAAAATCAGGAAAAAAGAAGGAAAATGGGCACACATGTTTTTCAGGCAGGAATGTACTTCACTCACCCCAACTCCCTCTTGGGGAGCAAGTGCAGTTCCAGCCTTGGCTGGCTAGAGGGCAGCACCACCTCATCCTTCGTGCACTCCAGGGTGTGCTCCTCCAGCCCCTCAGGGCCACACAAAGACAGCCTGGTGCACACACACATGCACAGGTGCACTCACACACGCCCCCCCTCCCCACGCACACATACACACACTCACACACGCACACACACATACACACACTCATACACACACTCATACTCAAACATGCACACACAGATACACGTACACACATACATGTATACATACTCACACTCACACAGATGCACATACATGTACACACTCACACATACACGCACACACATGCATGCACTCGCACACACTCATACTTACACCTGCATCCACACACACACACACACAGGCATATACACTCACATACTCACATACGTTCAGTCTCACACATACACAAACACACCCACACACATGCACACAAAGATGCGCATCCCAACTTTGCTATCCGACAGGCTAAAGCACGCAAGGAAACCAAACCACATTTTGAGTTGGCAAGTGGAAAATGAGCCCAGGCCTGAGGTGCGGTGTCGCTAGTGAACAGATTGCTGGGCTAGCAAGGAAGGGTGTGTGTGCCACAGAGACTGGCAGCACTGCCTGGGGGTGGGGGGTCACTGGTCTGGGCAGAGGTGGATGCAGAGACAAAGCAGCCCAGGTTCAGGAAGGCTGCTGTCTGCTGTCCACCCTGTGGCTCCCACCCATGGGGTTCTGGTGCCCAGTGCATGGAACGGGGGAGAGCCAGTGGCTACCGACCAAGAGCAGGAAGCTGGGGTCATAGGGCAGACAGGGTGAACAGGTGCGACGCTGGGGACTCTGCCACCCCTGCCTGTCCAAAGGAAGGGAGCCTCTCCTCATTGTTCCAAGGGCCAGGCACAGCCCACTAATGAAAACAGCCCCTAAACAAACTGTTCAGCTTTCAGAATCAACACTCCTTGCATTGTGATTGTGCCCCATAGCCTGAGAGCCAACTGTTCTCCAGGACCATACACCAGCTTCCCCAGGAATTAGCTCATTTTGCCTCTGTAACTTGCTTGGCTGATCACAGCTCCTGCCACCCCTCACCCACTGTACCCACTGTCTGACTAGGAGGTAAATGCCACTTTTCTAAACTCATCCCTCACTGTCTGTGGCTGAGTTCTTTGAGACGCTAGTAGGCTAGTGGCTGCCAGATTCTTTCATAGATGCCTAATTCAGACTCTCCGAGTGTTGCTCATTTGGGTGTCATGAAACTCCCTCACACAGTGTCAGGGACAGCAGGCTGGCTGGCAGCCAGGAGGAGCAGGGACCACTCTCCCTGCACCAAGGGGCCTCACCGAGTGGCCATCTCTGCTGCGTGGACCCTCCTCTCCCTCCACACTGCACTCCCTTGGGTTGTGTCTCATTCATGGCAGCCACACCTCCATTCAGGGGTCCCCAGCCTGTGCCCAGGCCCCCTGGGTGAAAGGTGCAGGACCGAGTGAGCGGGATCCCCGGTGCACTCACGCTCGGGGCCGCTGTCCCAGCCGTTCTTGCGGATGGAGTCACAGTCCGAGCGGCAGGGCGACACGGTGGGCAGGTTGGGGGCCACGCTGCAGACGGCCACGCCGCGGCGTGCGGGGAGGATGCGTGGGGACTCGGGGTGGAAGGTGGTCATCTCCTGGTGCTCGGCGCCCAGCGCCTCGGCCGCCAGCTTGTCCAGGTGGCCGCGGGAGTCACTCTGGAAGCAGGGGGTGTAGGCCATGGGGCGCACGGGCACCTGTGGCGGCCCCACTTCCTGGTAGACGTTGCGGGGGGCTCGCAGGCCGCGGAAGGGGCCGCCGTTGCTCTTGCGCAGCAGAGCGGCCGCCGCGGGGTCCCGCACCAGCGTGGCGTCGTTGCGGGAGTAGTGAGGCCGGAAGACCTTCCTGCGCAGGGCGGCGAAGAGCGCCACCAGCACCAGGAGCACCAGCAGCACGGCCGCGATGCCCACCAGCTCCTCCTTGCCCACGTACGCCGGGCCCGCCTGGATGTCCGGCACCAGCACAGGCCGCAGCGCGCAGCGCGGGCCCACGAAGCCGCGTGTGCAGTTGCACACGAAGGAGCCGAACACGTTCACGCACGCGCCCCCGTTCTCACACTCCTCCCGCGCGCACTCGTCCACGTCCTCCTCGCACCTGTGCACAGAACACAACCCGCCATCATCTTCCGGCAGAGGAGAGGCCCAGAGATCTGGACCACTGTGCTCCGTGTGTGTGTGTGTGTGTGGAGGGGGCATGAGTGTCGGAGATGGTGTGAGTGTGGGAAATGGTGTGAGACAACATGAGTGTGGAAGACGTGAGTGTGGGATACAGTGTGAGTGGGAAGACACCGTGAGTGTGGGAGACGGTGTGGGTGTGGGCGATGGTATGAGTGGGGAGATGGTGTGAGTGTGGGGGAGACAGCGTGAGTGTGTGACGTGGTCTGAGTGTGGGAGACTGTAAGTATGGGAGACAGTGTGTGTGTGGGAGATGGTGGTGTGTTTGTGGGACATGGCTAATGTGAGATGGTACATTATGAGATAGTGTGTGGAAGATGGTGTGTGTAGGGGGGAGTTAGAGGCCAGAGTCTCTATTCCACAGGAAAGTGCTTCTCCAGGGGCCTTGCCCACAGAGCCCCCTCCCCTGTCCACCAGGAGGTAGGCAGACACAGGAGACACACTGGAAGTCACGAGTCTCCAATCCACTGGGCACAGAATTTAGCACTTTATAATTTTAGAATTGACATATATTCCATCTCTCATGGTGCGCTAAATGCCCACTGCAGGAACTGGTACCAGCCTAGGACCAATACACCCACGAAATATCTGCACAATCACAGGAAAGAGAAATAAAGACCAGTCTAGTACTTTATCCTTGACCCTCTTTGTTCTCAGAAGAACACTGTGAACCTGCATGCAGGAGAGGAAAGTCTTTTTTTTTCTGATGTTTTCATCTGGTGGTCCATCTTGTGGGGTCAGGGGAATGGCATAAAGAGGTAGGGGTCCGGAGACACAGCTACACATCTTCCAGAGTCTGCTCTGCAGAGAGCTAATGCTAATGTGGTGAGGAGGAAAGAGGATGAAAGGGTTCTAATGAATAATCCAATCAGTTCCATTCTCTTCAAAGCTTGGAGTCATTACATGGCAAGCACTGAGGTCTGATTCTTTGAGTTTAACCCCGAGAACACAGACCTTTTCCTTCTTCACTTAGCTCTACTTCCACAATTGTTCTGATCTTTTCACTTAAAAGACTCAATCACCTATATTTTCAGTAATCCACCTTTTAAAATGTACTCAGACGTCCTAATTTGAATAGATTGAGGCCAGGTCAGTCGGAAATTAGTCAGAATCACAGAGTATTTAAGAATAAATGCAGCTTTATTACTTTAAATTACGCCCAACTATTTAAAGTGGGCTAAGTATTTCCTGGGAAAGTCCTCAGGAGAATTGCTCTAATGAATGCATAAGACTGATCTGTGATTAGAATATCATACAGATATTCTCAAACCATCAAGGACAGAGCGAAAACAGGGCTCTGAGAAGGACTCAGGTGTCCCCTCTGACTCCACTCTCACTTCATTTTCTCTCACATCTTGGTGGGATACTTGGCTTCTAAGAAGCCAGGAAATGAGACAGCAGGTGTATTCAGAATTTACTGGAAATGGTAGTGCTCAGAGGGATTATCTTTGGAAGAACTGCTCTCCTAATTATAAGGGAAGGAGAGACCCTATTAAATACATGGAATATAAAAGTATGCCTTGAGAATTGTGAATGGCACCGGACCCCCCACCAGGAAGGCTGCTAGCACTGGCATCCTGAGAGCCCTCTTAGGGGAGGCGCAGCCTGCTGACTCAGTACCCCACACAACCCTCTCGCCTGTCCTGACTCAGCAGCAGCACGGAGAGACCCACATGCTCTCATACTGAGAGAGGCTGACCGTCTCACTCATGTGAAGAGGCACACACTCTCTCATGGAGAGAGGCCCACACAGTCTCCTCACTCATGTGGAGAGAGGCCCACACAGTCCCCTCACTCATGTGGAGAGGGGCCCACACAATCATGCACTCACGTGGCTCCGGTGAGACCAGCTCTGCAGCTGCAGGTGTATGAGTTTCCTATGGGGTCACAAGAGCCTCCGTTGCGGCAGGGGTTGGGGAAGCAGGCCGTGATCTCTGACTCACAGTTGCTCCCAGTGAACTGGGACTGGCAGGCGCACTGATAGCCTGGAGAGAGAGACAAGAGCTGGAGCTGGGCTGGACAATGCCTGTGCCTCATTCCCCTTGGCTGGGTTGGAGGAGACAGGTGCCCCAGATGGTCAGCAAACTGGTCATTTTGAACTTGGGACACATCTCATCTCATCTCATGCCCCTGGGGGGGTGGAGAGAGTATATGATGGTGAGGTGAATGATGCTTAGGTGCTGACCCTGGTTCAATCCTGGCACCAAACAGTCTCCCAGCTGCCAGCTGCGGCCTCAGTGAAGCTGGCATGGTGGGGTCTGACCAGCACGGCATCCCTGGACTTGCCCATTGAACCACCTGCCTGGTAGGTTGAGAATCACTGGGGGCCCCCAAGGTCTCTGAGCACCACTTGGGAGTCTCCCCCTAAGTACCAATGATATGACTCCCTCGCTCGTCTTTGAAAAGCAGCGCTGTGAAGCCTACACAATTTTTTTTCTCGTGAGAAGGGACCAGTTCCTGGGTGGAGACTGGGGCAGGAAGATGGACCCCACCTTTAGCTCTGAGTCCAGAAGAACAGGAACCCAAAGGCCGCGCTAGTCCTGCCCAGTATGACTCCTTAGTGGGAGCTGGAGTGAGCCTGAGGGGAGGGAGCTGCCCACATGAGCCTCAGTGGGTATCAGCATCTGCACCCCTTTTTTCTATCCCCTTGCCCGGTGCACTGAGGTCTAAGCGAAGCGAGTCTCCCCGGGGGCGAAGTTCACTCTTAGGATTTCCCCTTACTTCCAAGAAGGTGCTTTCAGTGCAAGGCGGTATGCAGTGAAGACTCAGAGCTGTACCCCACTGTGGACAGCTATCCAGGACATGCCTCCCTTGTGTGGCATGCATGCAGGCTGCTCTGTGCTGTATCTCCAGCTAACGGTTGTTTTTTAATGCCAAAAGAGTGGTACCTATTGTTAGTCCCCATGAAAGAGGCTCGCTGATCAAAATTGACTTGATCTCACAAGGTATTATTTATGGTCTCATTATCCCTGTTTGGGTCCCCATTGTTAATAATTTTTATCTTATAAACAAGTCGGCCATCATTGAGACCAAGTGATTTAATGCTTAGTGGTTTAAAGTCACTTTCAGTAATTCTCAAATAGGACTAAGAAGGAAAAATCAGGATTCCTATCAGTAACTCAGATCTGGGAGTATGGTTGAGGTCAGAGCTTGGTGCCACACCTGCAGTCTGGCAAGTGACTCGGCAAGCCTAGGCTTCTGGTTCCTAGACCTTTCTGTGGGCACAGCTCCAGGGAACTGGTATCACAGAGGGTGATGGGCAGACCAGAACACCCCTGGGGGCCAAGTCATCCTCCAACAAGAGAGGCAGGGTTCAGTCGTGCCTAGTGACTGCCCAGTGCTACCACACGTTGCCGTGGAACACTAGGGAATGGAATGCCAAGAGCTCACCCACAGTATCTGATGGCCATGAGCATCTTAGCACTATTGCAAATGAAAGGAGACAAGTCAGCAGTTAGTCAATCTCAGCATCTTAGCAGAAGGAGTTGAGCCTGTTGCTTTGAGGCTGCACTGTGGGGCTTGGCATAGCTCCATGCTCTGGAGTCATTCCTGGGGAGGGAGGGAGGATGGTCCCCAGAGGGGACAGAGCTTGGGCTCCAGTTGGTTGAACCGTCCCTGCAGCCCTAAAGGGATTAGCTTTTTTGGGCTAGTGCAGAATGTACAAAAAAGAAAAAGAAACCATTATCTAGAACAGCAGCAGATCTGCAGGAAAAGTGCTAAGACCTTTTCACGCGTTTTCTCATTTAATCTGACAACAATGCCAAGCTGAGGTTATTTTAGGAAAGAGGGCACCGAGGCTTCAATAGGGCCATCTGCCCACATAGGCACGATAAGGAAGTAGCAGGTGCCACTTTTGACCAGTTTTGAGGATTTAGAAAAGAGCAGTGACCCCACTCGTGTTCAGGAGCATGTGAAACCCCTTGCTGCTTGAGGTGTGCTTGCATTCACGATTCTAGTTCCTGCGGGTGTGGAAGGCTTTGAAACCTGTGAGTCAAACCCGTGGCACACCCGCTCTCCTGGGAAGCCAGCACATAAACCGAGCCAGGGCATCCTTTGCTGAAGCCTCTGACTTGCTCCTTTATGGACCAGATTCCTCCAAGGCAGGGCCTCAGACCAGCCCTGCGGGGAGCAGAGCATTGTCCTGACACTCAGGCTGAGCACAGAAGGGCCAGTGCGCAGCCAGACTGCTGCTGAGTTGCAGGCGGCTTGTGCCATCCTGGTGGCCCCTCGGAGGTGGAGAAGTCCAAGCAATTCTGAGATCTGGGTGTGACCCGCTGCCTCGAGTGATGGACGGCAGAGGGCATCAAGGAGCAGCAGACATGGGTGCTTCCCCACTCACTCTTATGTGTCAGAGAGCACTCACCCTAGAAAGCAGAACTCCTCTCACTTCCCATTTGGCAGGAGCACTCACCCATGTGACATGGAGCACTCATCCTAGAAGGCAGGACTCCCCCCTCATCTGGTAGGAGCCGTGACCCCACATGGCAGGGAGTACTCACCCCCAGAATGCAGGACTGCCCCTCACTTTGCAGGAGCACTCACCCCTACGTGACAGGGAGCACTCACCCCTACCTGGCAGGAGCACTTACCCCTACGTGACAGGGAGCACTCACCCCTACCTGGCAGGAACACTCACCCCCGGAGGGCAGGCTGCTGCAGCTGCCCCCATGCTGGCAGGGACCTCGTGCACAGGCATCCGGGTAGAGCACACAGCCCAGCTTGAGCTCAGTCAGACCCACCACCTCGGCGAAGCTGCTGCGTTTGTTCTGCAGTGGCAGCTCGTGGCCATTGAGCACCACCGCATCCAGGCAGCCCTGGAAGCCGCTGAGCACCTGTGTGCTGTGTGCATCGGCCAGGCTGCGGGCCGGGTCGGCCTGCACCAGTGCCCCAAAGTAGATGGAGCTGTCAGCACGCAGTGTCTGGAAGTAGAGCGGTGCCCGACGGCGCTCCACGTAGCTGTCGTCCAGGGACAGGCTGGTGACATTGTGGTTGAGCTCGAGGAAGACCGAATGCCAGCTCCCATCATTGACGGCACGGCCCGAGATGCCCAGGATGCCAGGGCCTGTGCCACAGTCCAGCTGGAACCACAGTCGACTGTCCACGATCTGCCAACAACACGTGGTACTTTAGTGCCTCCCTCTGCATGTCCCCACAACCCAGGCCCTCACCAGAGCCTACCTGATTGTGCTAGACTCTCTCCCTGTTCTATGCCAGCTCCGCGTGGGCTCCACCAACCTTCTTGTGGCCATAATGGTGCAGAAAGAGCCCTTTCCTGTGCACAAGCCCCCAGCTCTGGAGCTCTCCTGTGCTCTCGCTACAGCACCTCAAGTGGCCTCCACAGGCAGTGACAACTGTTCAGAGAGCAACTACTTGGAGCCAAGAACGTGTGCCAGGCCTAGGTTGCTCACGCAGCTGTCCCCCAGGGCTGATGTTTAGGGGAAGTGGCCTAACCCCAAAAGGGGCACACAGAGGTGCCCTGGAGTGGGAGTGGACACAGACAGCTTTCTGGGGTGCCCAGATGACAACTCCCAGGTGATACCCCACACAGTCTGTCTTATTCTCTATGTGCTGCTGCAGTGCTCAATGCGAGGGGTTGGGCCACCGCTGGGCAGTGGAGAGGCAACGCACCCAGTGAACTGTTCACACCTGTGCACACCCCCAGGGCGTGGGGCTCACACTCATGGATGTGGGTTTCACACTCATATACTCCCCAGTCATGGGGTTCACACTCACACATACCCAGGTGTGGGGTTCACACTCACACATACCCAGGTGTGGGGTTCACATACATCTCTCCAGGCATCGGGTTCACACTCACACACAACCCAGTTGTGGGGTTCACACTCACACACACCCCCAGGCTGGGGTTTACATTCACACATACTCAGATGGTGTCACACACACACACACACACACACACACACACACACACATTCCCAGCCTGGGGGCCCATCTGCACATACACATCCAGGGGAGAAAGTGCCCGCTGCAGAGGACCCTGCCCAGAATCGGGTGCAGGGCTGGGTCGAGTGGAGGAGATATTCTGGGCTCCGTGCCCTCTGTGATCTGCCCTCCTGTACCTCTCAAACATGTGGCAGCCTGAGGGTCGGTGTTTAATGCACAGAGTGATATGGGGCACAGAGTGATATGGCGCTGGGCACATGGCATCACAGAGATGTCTGCTCTGGGCTGTCCCCCAGTCCTGGGCTCCACTGGGTGAGGGCTTGCACAAGTGGAGAGGGGCAGGCAGGAAGGCAGCGGGTATGAAGAAGGGGTGCTGCCACCTGGGACCAAGGGGACTCTGAAAGCCTCCAACTGCCTTGGCAATGTGGGCCTGGATCATGCCGAATTAGAACAAAGGCACAGCAGTGCACTGTCACACGAGCCACTTGTGGAGCCTATCCACGATGCTCTGGGGCCTGCTCTCCTGCCCAGACCTCCCAGCCACGACTCCACATGTGCGGAAGGTGGCGCTCTAGGCCGAGCAGTGCTCTGACCCTCAGGCCAATCACGCTCCAGACCCCACAGCTGTTGGTGTCCGGAGACTGTCTCCACACAGAAAACTCAGCACTGCCATGCAAGCACGGACACGAGTCAGGTGCCTCGGCTGCTTCTTCCTCTGAGTGTCTGGCGTGTGGGCCCTACCATGCTGTCCTCACGAACCTTGGCTCCACATCACAGACCCAGGGGATTCCGTGAGCGATACAGGGATATTTGCTCTGCAATGACTCTAGGAGAACAGTCGCATGTTTGTCTGAGGTGCTTGCCAGCAACCAGAGACAGCAGAGCTGCCAGGGGCACATTGGGCTATGCAGAGGCATGGGGGTATTGGGTGTGGGGGAACAAACCCACCCCTGTACTCGTGAGGCACTCACTCAGCCCCTGAGCCCACTCCGTCGGTCATGTAACTTTTTTTTCTTTTTTGGGTCACACCTGGCGATGCACAGGGGTTACTCCTGGCTCTGCACTCAGGAATTACTCCTGATGGTGCTCAGGGAACCATATGGGATGCTGAGAATCAAACCGGGGTTGGCCGTGTGCAAGGCAAATGCCCTACCCATTGTGCTATTGCTCCAGCCCCTGGACATGTAACTTTCTAAATCAATGCAATTTTTGATTATAAATTGTAATGGAAAGACTGAGCTGAAGAAAGCCTGGAGAGGAAGAGCACAGAGGGGGAGCACAAAGGGGTGGAGCCTGGAGGGATAGAGCAAAGAGGGGAAGCGTGGCGGACTGCAGGCCCCCAGCCAGACACAGTGGGAGAGTGTGAACTGATTTCCAGCACCACACAGTTCCTTTCCAGGACAGGCGGGACTGGAAACCAGGTGATGCCCAAGCTGCCAGGAGCCATTTTCCTGGGCATTAGCTTTTGAGCTGGACCCAAGGCCAGGCTCGTGCTAAAGGAAACTGGGCTCCCCCGAGCCGGCATTTTCTCTAGCCATGATGGCCACTTCTTCCCTGAGGGCGGTGGGGCAATCCCGTATGTGGGGGGGGGGGGGCAGGTGTGTGTGGAAAGGCCGTCCTGTATGATGGACTGAGTGCTCAGCTGCTCAGGGAGAGCCAGTCTGGAAGCCGCAAGCCTGCCCTCCCGGACAGCGCGCCTCTGCCCAGTGCCGGCTCCGGCTCCCAACTCTGAGAGATGAGAGGTTCTCTCCTCGGAGCCACCCGAGCCCACCCTGGCCAAGCCTGGCTGTGGCGAGGCACCCTTACCTTCAGGACGAGGCAGGGGTTGGCCCGCGTGAACATCAGAACCCCGTTGCTCTGCAGTGTGCGCAGACGCAGGGCCAGCCTGAAGGCGTCTTCTCTGCTGTTCGAAGAAAGGCGGTATTTGATGTAACTGTTTCCAGCAAAGCTGAGAGAAGCGTGTCCTGCAAAGGCCATCGAGGAGACATCACGTGTCCATCCCGGAGAGGGAGGGACAAACGTGCCTCAGCCTCCCCCGTGCATGCTGATGAGAGAGCATGGAAGTTACTGTGGGGTGAGGAGAAACCATTTCTGATCGGACATGGTTCTGTGCGGGTCCCACTCATTTCAAAGTGGAAGAAGTCTTAACCCACTAGCTGCCAAGACCTCTGGGCTGTCTCGAGCTAAGGACACCTTGGTAAATTCTAGAACTTGGATTTTCTAAGTGGGCTGGACCCCAGCTCTGGCACTCAGAACCCAGCACTGGTAGGAGCTGCCCCTTTGGGCATCCCACGCTGGCCCCACCAGCACTTCCAGTCCCTGAGACAAAGGCAAAACAACACAGCCGATTTGGAAGAATAAGCAGCACCCTGAGCCAGGGGAGCCTGACCCCACCAGCTCAGGGCTCACTGGTTGGCTCTGAAGAGGCTGACGGGGGTGGGGCCGTCCGTCAGTCCCACCAGCAACGGCCCCGGCCTTGTGTTACCCAGCCTGGTCCCCCTCCCAGGATGGCTACTTCCACTGAGCCACTTGGGAGTCTGTACAGAATCAGAGTCTGAGCTGAGAAGCTGTGTCACTGCTGACAGGGGACAGTGAGGCACCAAAGCAGGGAAGGCAGAAGACTTTCTAGAAGGCAGAGGGCAGAGGGTAACCCGAGCTGGCTCCCTGTCCACCGCCACTGTGAGGAAGAGTGCGTGCTGGGTGGCGGCCCCTGATTGCCTGAGTTTGGGGGCGCTCAAAAGTGGTTCTGCCCAGGCCCCGGCCCAGGAAGAGCCTTGATGCCCACTGGTCAGAACGGGGCCAGGCGCCCTCCACCACAGCCCCTGGCTCCTCAGCACACGCTCCAGGAGCCGACAAACATCTTCACCGGCAGCAAGAACAAGGCTTTCCTGGAGGAAGATGGTGAAGAAAGTGAGGCGCGGAAGCTGGGGGCAGGGTGAATGTCAGAGCGGGATCACCTGGCTAGACCCTCTGACTTTGCCTAAGAAGCCCCCATTTCTGGGATCCGGCTCCCTCCCGCTGTGGTGGCTCAGTGAGGCCACGTTAGACAATGCCCCGTGGAAGGACCCTGGTGAGTTCATGGGCAGCAGCTGGCCCAGCCCGCCCCACTGCACCTGAGCACTCCCCCAGCTTCCCTGGGGGGCACTGGCAGAGGAAGGGCCTCCTGCTGGCCTCGTAGCCGACACACTGCATGTCTCCTGGACACGGCTTCTCCACGCAGGGGTCACTGGAGCCCGGGCACAGTCCTCCTGCGGCAAAGGGAGAGAGCAGTCAGCAGCAGTGGGCCTAGACCCAGCCTTCTCTCCCCGTGGCAGACAGCCGGTGACCGCCCCGCACAGCCCTCCCCGGCAGGCTGTGGGCGATGGACCTGCCCCCAGGTGCCAACATGTTCCGGGGGCCAGGCTGCTTCCCGACAACCCAGCCAGGCCCTGGCCCGACTTCCGGATGCTGCCCCGCCTGGCCATCTTGCCCTGAGACGGAGGCCAGCTTTTGAAAGGTGTAGGCTGTGGGTCTCATGGGAAATGACATCTCTAGGGAGGAGACGTAGGTTCCAAAGGTGAGGCACCATAGCTCTACTTGTAACTCTCGCTGTCTGCATCCCTGCCACATGGCCTTCTGCAGTGGCTGTAAAGGAACTGTGGACAGTCCAGGACCTGTCCAGGACCTGCTCCAGCACCATGGCAGAGCAAGATGCAGGGTGGAGCTTCAGAGTGTGGCAGGCGCTGGGGGAAAGCCCCTAGACCTGGGTTTCTTGGGCGGCAAGGACTTGGGTGGCATGGAGACCACGGCAGTGAGCCCTCCCCATGGCTCTGCACCCCAAGGATGTGGGAGCACCAGCATCTGCTCCTCCCTGCAGCTTCCCGGGAAGTGGGTGCAGTCAACCCAAAGGGGGAAGACAAGGGTCCCAGCAGACTCTGAATCCCTCAGTGCCCATGTCCACTGCTCCAGAGCTTGGCCCACATACAAGGTGAAGAACTGGTCTCCATAAGCAGCTCTCAAGGACAGAGTCCCATTCGTGTGCCTCCAGCCTGCCAGTGTCCACAGGGCTCAGGCTGTCTCAAGGGGCCCAGACAGACATGGGCTGGAGGAGGGGCGGGGGGGGGGGGGCTGTGAGAAGCTCCTCAGCGGGGCCAGGGCATGGGCACAGCAGCTGTTAGCACTGCTCGAGGCCCTACATGGACGGACTCTGAGGCTTCGTGTGGTGCCTCATGGCCTGCACAGTTATGGGTGTTGGAAGTGCTGGGCTAGGCCTTCTGGCTGCTGACCCTGACGCCCATCATATGGGCACCCTGGCCTGACCATCAAACTGTGCTGATGGACCCCATGACTTTCCCATCTCCCACTTCGGATGACCTGGGCACAGTCTTTCTTTTTGGCCACACCCAGCAGTGCTCAGGGGTCACTTCTGGCTCTGCACTCAGGAATCACTCCTGGTGGCGCTCGGGAACCGTATGGGATGCCAGGCATGGAACCAGGGTTAGCCACATGCAAGGCAAATGCCCTTCCCTCTGTTCTACCGCTTGGACCCCTAGGGGCAGTTTTCCTGCATGACTGTTTCTGATATGTAGCCAGATTAACTCCGATCTGTGTGTCTTGCTGTAAAGCAATAGTCACGCTGTCAAGAAACCGTCATTATCTGAACCCCAGCTTCGAAGTGCTAAATAGGACTAGGTAACTTCAGCCTCACGATAGCAAAGCTATTCTCTCCTGCGTGAATGATGTGTCTGTTGGGAAACACATCTAAGGAGCTGTGAGTTATGAGCCCAGCCTTCAGCTGCTCCTGCCTCGGTTGTCAGGACCCCACGGTCCCGCCCTGGCGAGCAGTTTTCAGCTTTTCACCTCTCCTCTAAGCCCCCTCCAGCCCACCCCATGCAGCATGAGTCACACTCAGGTCCCAGCTTTGTCCTTCCTTCTTGCCCGTCTCACCGACCCCACAGGGCTAAATGCAGGCAAGCATCACTTCTCATGAAAGGCATAGCCTCGTGGTTCTGAAGGTGTCATGGTGAAAGGTGCTGGCAGATAATCATGAGCGTTCCTGTTGGTGCTCTCTCCTTACTTTTCACAGCTTGATTTTAAGGTCAGGAGGACAGCTTCTGGCAACCACCCTCTCTGGATATTCAAAAATGGGGAGGCACCTCCCCCTGCATAGCCTGCTCTACCTGCTCTGCTCTCCGCTGCTTCCTGTGACCCAGAAAGACCCTTGAGAACCTGCAGGCCAGTGTGGCAGTGCTGCCCCGCTGGGGACTGAGGGGCATGAGTCATCCACCCAGAAGAGAAACTTCCTGTCTCCAGAAATCAGGCTTTTCCTGGTGCCTTCCCCGCCCCTGAGAACCAATCCTGGCTCTTCCACGTGGGAAGTTCTGGCCCTTGCCCACCAACGGCTCCCCCTTGCTGTCCTGCTTAGTCAGATCCAGCCACTGCTTCCTGGACGATATGCCTGAGCAGTGGGGTCCCAGAGGGGAGTGTCAGGGACTCCCCCTTCCCTCCCACCCCAAGCATTCCCACCGGCCTGGACTGCTGAAGCCCAGTGCCTAGCACTGCACTTTGATCCGAGACCCACACCTGAACTCACCCTTCTACTGAGAAGCCATGGCCTGGGAAACAACGCCTAAGTCCACAAGCTTCCCTCTAAACCTGGCTACACAGAGCTTTCCGGGCCCCTTGGGGCCACCCAGAAGGTGCCAGTGAGGCTCACCACACTACTGAACATGAAGGTCACGCTTGAGAGCAGCACATTGCAGACTCTCTGGCTGCTGCACGTGGGCAGAAAGGCTAGAGGCGCCTCACACTGAGATGCAGCTGCCATGGCCAGAACCCCTGCCCCCTGCCCTCTGCCCTCCCTGCTGTGGGGTCCTGTGTGCTGGGGCAGGCTCCGTGAGGGTGTCTGCACAGGAGGGAAATGGGGCCGTGCAGCCAGAGAGCGCCTACGTGGTCCAGCGAGTCAGGCTTAACTCTGACTTTTTTTTTTTTGCTTTCCTTTTTGGGTCACACCCAGCAATGCACAGGGGTTACTCCTGGTTCTGCACTCAGGAATTACTCCTGGAAGTCCTCAGGGTACCATATGGGATGCTGGGAATCGAACCCAGGTTGGCCGTGTGCAAGGCAAAAGCTCTACCTGCTATGCTATCCCTCAAGCCCCTGACGTCTGACTTCTAAACCCAAATCGAGACTCTGCTGAAGCAGTTGAACTCATCTCCCAGAACAGGAACTCCTTTCACTGTCCCGAGCCTTGCTCCCTGCCGTCCCCTCCCTGCTCCACTTTCAGCCGGACTCTTCTGCCCTTTTCTCAGTCTGGGGATGCCCCCGTGGAATCCTCTCTCCAAGTCAGGTTCTTTCTTGAAGGGCCCCTGACCAGCTCCAGCAGCTACACTTCTACTTTTCCTTTATGGAAATGAGGTGGGAATGCCACAGGAGTCTGAGGGCGGGGCCATGTGGGCGTAGCCACACACACACACACACACACACACACACACACACACTCACAGAGGAGGCTGTAGGCGGGTTCAGACTGCTGGCAGCACTCACCGTCGCAGCTACAGTGCACACTGCGGTAGAAGCGCGGGCACACAAAGCTGATGCGGGCCGTGCTGTAGGTCATGAGCGCGTGCGAGTCCAGGGACAGGCCTTGCTGGCAGTGCTGCTCCTGGCAGTCCAGGCCCGAGCAGTTCTTCTCCAGAATGGCGGCCACGCGCACGGCGCTCTCCAGCTGCTTCCTGGCCCCGGACAGCTTCTGGATCAGGTAGGCCGGCTTGTAGAACTCGCCGCCTTGAGTCTCCACGGCGAACAGCATGTCCAGCTGGCCCTCCCTGCCCGCCGGCTGAACACTGATGACGCGCAGGCTGTCCTGCTTTTGGGTGAGCACGGTGCCCCGCAGGATGCGCCGAAGCCCGTGCAGGTGCAGCCCCACGAAGTCCTCGGCCGACACGTCCTCGAAGCGGATGGTGACAGTGTTGTGCAGCGCCTCCCGCGCCAGCTGCTCCACGTGTACCACCACGTCCACGGGCACCTGGAAGCGGCCGTCGCTGACCGACACGTTCAGCACGTACTTGCCGCTGTCCAGGCCCCCCAAGGCGACGATCTTGCCATCGTGGCTGCTTACTTGGAACAGGCTTTTCTGCTCCGACTTCAGGGCGAACGTGAGCACGTCGTAGGGGTCCTGGTCTGTGGCGTGGACCTTCCCGATGACGCCCCCGGGGAAGTCGTCCTCCATGGTGACAATAAAGACCTCGAGTGGGAGGGCTGTGGGCTTGTGGACACTCTCCTCGATGACCCGCACACGGACGTAGGCATGAGACACTTGCTGCGGTTGGCCCGAGTCTGCTGCCTGAGGGCACGGAGACAGGAGGGCCGGGAGGTGAGAACGGCAGGGAGGGTGAGCGGCGAAGTGTGTCCGGGCGAGCCAGGGCAGCTGTGAGTGTACCCCGCCCGGCTGACCCGGCAGAGGAGCCGTGGGCACCATCTCCTACTTGTTGGAAGGGCTCCCTTAAACAGAGAGGGAGCTAGACTATGAGGTGGGAGCAGTGCTAACTCCAAGTTCAGGGGAAGGAGCAGCAGGACAGCCCCAGGATGGACACCATGGCCACACTGGCCACTGAGCCCACGGGCCCCTGACACATGTGGCTGCAGGACTTCCTGGGGACAGCTCCCTGGGTGCATGGGATCCATTTTACAATCAGCAGGTGCCAGTCAGTGCCAGCCCAGAAAGAGGAAGGAAAGGCAAGAGGCTGTTGGTGTCAGTGCTAGCTTGGCAGGTGGGAGAGAGTGGGGTGGAGTGTGGCCATCAGGGACTGGCATCCAGGCTCTGGAGGGTCATCCCGGTTTCCAGAGGATGAGCAGGGCACAGGCTAGGGACTTTGCATGGAGCCTGCTGTGGGGCAAGCACAGTGTGGCACTTCTGGGTCAGGGCAGAGGACTTGGGAGGGGAGAGGCCATCCCTAGAAAGATGGGGCAGGGGCTGGAGGCTCTGGAGACTGTGTGCCTAGGGCCCAGATCTGGGCTGAGCGGCCTGGTGAAGGGGTTGAGTCAGTGGCTGGGGAAGGGTCTGAAGGACCAAGATGCGGCCAGAAGCCTGAGGTGTGAAGTCAGGTGCAGGTGGACACCTTCCCACGGCCCAGAAGACCCTGCAAGGTCCCAATGGTGGGAGGGTCGGGCCAGTCACTGGCCTGGAAGCTTTTGTAAGCAGCAGAATCAACCCTAAGTTAACAGAGTGATAACCAGAACGCCTACATGCTCCGTAAACGGAAGGGTCACTATGACTGTCACCATCACTAGTGACTTTGGGTGGCTTTGGCAACAGTGTACAACAGTCTATGGCCAGATCAGTACCCTGCCTGGGGACCTGAGATGCTCCCTGTTCCCTGGCCACTCCTGCCATCTACCTCTGTCCCCTGTCACTATGAGGCAGTGAACAGGAGGAAGCTGGCTGCTGGGAGGTGAGCGACTCCTCACTGGGAGACACACCAGGCAGAGGCTCCTCAAAGGAGAGTCACGCGTGGCCAGGCCCAGCACCTGGCTGGCACCTCTGGAGAGACCCTGAGGACAGCACAACGAAGTGAGGTCAGGTGCTCCCCTCAAACTCCTCCAATGCAGGAGGTTCGGTGAGTGCCTTCCTCTACAGTAGTGACCCCTGCCCCTTGACCTGTCAGTCCCCTAAAGAGATGTCCAGGCTCGTGGGAGGTGCAATCTGGGATAAAGGGAGTGTGGTTAGCTGCTCAGAAAAGGCCCCAGGAGCACCCTCAGATGCAACACATATCTGCATGAGTTGTGTGAACCTGCACACGCAGCACATACCTGCACATGCAGCATGGACCTCACATGTACACATGCCTCATACATATCTCACACAACGCACATACCTCACAATGCATCTCACGTGCACATGCACCTCATATGCTTCTTACACAACACGTACCTCACACACACGCACACCTCACACGCAGCACACACCTCACATAAAGTACACACCTCACTTGCAGCATATCCTTACTAACACAGCACATACCTCACATGCACATGCACCTCACATGAAGCACATGTCTCACATGGAACATGCACCATATATGCAAGTGTGTACCTCACACGCAACATTTACCTCACATGAAGTACACATCTCACATGCAGCACATCTTTATATACACACAGCACACACCTCATATACACACATCTCACATACATACACCTCCCATACACGCACCTCACACACATGCACTCATGCCTTACATGTGGCACACACCTGCACACGCAGCACATGCTCGGGGGAGCCTGTGTGCCGGAAGATCACAGCCGAGCGCAGGACCCCCTGTGGATCCAGCAGGAACTCCTGCTTCTCATTGCCCGCCACGATGGAGAAGGAAAAGGGTGGCCCGTTGTGGAAGGAGTCTCTGTCTGTGACCACCAGCCGCAGGATGCTGGTGCCCACTGGCGTGTTCTCCTGTAGGTAAGAGCAGGTGCAGGGAGAGGCCGTCACCTCTCATATCCCTCACCCCTTTCCTGGCAGCCAGGGCACCTGGGAGGCATTGTGTCTTCTGTTCCTGCCTGTGCCCAGACCAGGCAGCCACAGCCCACAGTCTCTGAGAGGCTGCCCCCTGCCAGCTCCCAGAGTCCACTCCCTTGAGCCCGGTGCAAGGGCAGCACACAGACCTCTAGGGAGTGGCCCAGGAGAGTCTGGTCCTGGGGCAAGGGAGTGGGATGAAGGACAAAGGCTCGGTGGGAACTCTGGAGCTCGCCTGTCTGTGCCTTCTGCTCAGTCCTGGCTCCGTGCCAGCATCACCGAGGGTGCCAGTGGCCCCAGCTTGACCATGGTCAGAGGGCCCCACTCCCATTCTGAGACCCGGAACATCTTTCCGGAAGAGAAGAAGAGAAGCAGCTGCCTCAGGGCAGGGTGTCAGAAGCAGAAGGCAGGCCTGGGTGCCCTGTGGGGTCGTGGTCTCTCACAGGACAGAACAGGGACAGACTTGTGCTCTGTGGGGGACGTGGGCTCTCATGGGGATGGGTCAGAGGCAGGCCTGGGTACTCTGTGGGGTTATGGGCTCTCACGGGGGTCCTGTCTGGTGGATCCCTTTCTGGTGCAGGCTGCCCCCTTCCCATGCCCCCAGCTCAGCAGTGCCCAGTCCTGGACGTGGTGGCTCTTGGCACGGTGCAGAGGCAGGAGTATGCATGCAGAAGGCTAAGGTACAGCCTGTTCAGACCCGCGTCTCCTCTCACTGCAGATGAGCTCTTGGGCCCTTCTCTCTCCCCTCCCTCGTCGGGTTGAGGTGAGTGTGGCATGTGAAGAGACCGAGGGGCATGGCAGCTCCCCAGGGCTGACAGGTGCCTCCTCAGGAAGAGGGGCAGAGGGTACAGGCTCACCTGAATCACGGCGCTGTAGTTGGCAGGTGTGAACATGGGACTGTTGTCGTTCACGTCGGAAATGTCGATGTTGACAGTGGCAGTGGATGACAGGGCAGGAGAGCCACTGTCGACAGCCTGGACCAGCAGGGAGTAGCCGGACACCTGTGGGACAAGGGGGAAGTGGGAGTGGGCACTGAGCTGCAGCTGGGCCTGCCAGGACCGGGTGATGCCTCTGTCAGCACCATACAGTCCTGCCCAGAGGGTACAGTCCCAGGACCAGGTCCAGGACCAGCTAGCTGCCTGGGAGAACCACACTCTGGCTGTCACCATGGCATGGCGCTGCTACTACCTCGTGCACAAACCACCTTGACACTTGGGGGTTGGGAGCTTATTGCTTTCGGCATTCTAACCGTGACCTCTTTCCCCAGAATTGCTTCACTTTGAAGATAATTTTTCAAAGAGAGCTGAGAAACCCAGCTCGACACAGGGATTTTCTGGCTCTTTCTTCCTGACCCAGATACCTTCAGGAGATACTCTATATTTGCTCAAGAGACTATGACCCAGGATCCCAGTGCCAAAGGACTGAGAAGCGAGTCCCCACAAAGGCTTTCCTTTCAAGCTCCTTCAGTAAGAAGCTGCCAGTTCTAGAGGGCCTGACAATCTTCAAGCCTGGCCCATACTCCCTGAGCTCCATCCTCTGAGTGCCAGGCCCTGCCCTCCCAGTCCCAGGCTCTGGGCCAAGCAAGGCCCCGCCCTCCAAGCATCAGGCCCCGCCCTCCAAGCACAGACCCCACCCCTTTTCAAACACTGGGTTCCGCCCTCCCAGCCCCAAGCCCCGCCCTCCCAGAACCACCTCCTCCTCTGGCTTGGTTCTGGGTCCAGGCAGCCTCAATAGCTTACCCGCTCCCTGTCCAGTGTCTTCTGCACCTTCACCAGCCCCAGGATGGGGTCCACAGCAAATTCATTGTCCCGGTCTCCACTCACAATGGAAAATTCGATCTGCCCGTTGGGGTGGCTGTCGGCATCTTCTGCTATCAGCTTCACAGATGCAAGCAGACAAGCAGAGCTGGGATGCAGGGTCCTCATGCCCACCCTGCTCATCACCAGCACTTCCTCAGACTGCTCCAAGAGGACACTGGCACAGCCCATGGGCACCAGAAGACCTGGCCTTCGTGCCAACTTTTCCCTGCTAGAAGTCTGATGCTTCCTGGACTGGCTTTTGTAAGATCAGAGCCAGTCAAGACCAGCCAAGCCCTCTCCCTTGCTTCCTCTCTTCCTCCCTCCCTCCCTTCCATTTCCTCCCTATCTCCTTCTATCTCTTCCCCTCTCCCATTCTCTCCCTCTCTCACCCCTTCTTCTCTGCACCCTCCTTTCCTTTCGGTATAACCACCCCCTCCATTCTCCTCTCCCCTTCCCTCTCACCCCTTCCCTTTCTAAGCCCTCCTCTCCTTTCTCCTCTCCCCCTCCTTTCTCACCTCCTCTCCTCACCCCTTCCCTTTCTAATCCTCCTCTCCTCTCCCCCTCCTTTCTCACCTCCTCTTCTCTCACCCCTTCCCTTTCTAACTCCTCTCTCCAATCTCCTTTCATCCCTCCACCCCCTCCTTTCATCCCCTCTGCTCTCTTCCCATTTAACCTGTCTCCCCTCCCCTCCCCGTCCTCCGGCTCAGCACCCCAGCCTCATCCCAGCCACAGACTTGATAGGAGTCTATCAGACACTTTCACAGCACAGACTGGAGAGAGGCGGAGGCTAGATCTAGGACAGGAGACCCCAGGGCAGAGGCCCAAGCCGGCGGTTCTGTCCAGGACCTCCCACCACCTACCAAAGTCACGGAGTCTCCGATGGCCGCATCCTCGCTCACCACAGCGCTGTACACATCCTGGCTAAACCTGGGAGGGTTGTCATTGATGTCTGCAAGGTCGATGCTGACTGTGGCCACAGCGCTGAGAGCTGGGGTGCCTCCATCTTTGGCTTCCACCACCAGGTAGAACTTCTTGTTTGCTTCATAGTCCAGGCCTTCTGAGACAGAAATCTGACCTGGGAGGGAAAGGGGAAGGCTTGGGGTCTTGTCAGAAGAGCCAGCATCAGTCTGGCCAAGTACCTCTGGCAACACAGTTCTGTTCACCATCCTGGCCTGGCCCTATGCACCAGAGGCTCAGAAATCTGCATCACAGCAGAGGGGGAGCAGAAGGGGAGGCCCCGAGGGTCCTCTGCCCTCTCAGTGCCTGAGGCTGGCCCTCAGTGCCTCAGCAGGCCTGTGAGTGTGGGTGACACTGGGTGTGTCTTGCCTGCACATGCAGGCTCAGCTCAGCTGTGTTCCCTGTCCCCACCAGTGCTCTTGCAGCTTTGAGAGCTGATGGCACAACCTCTCACAGGCCCTGTCCCTGCCTCCTGCAGGGCACCACGTGGACCGGGCTCTGGAATGGGCCATGTGCTCACTATCCACAGCTGCGGTGGGGTTGTGCCCACGAGCATGTCAATGCCAACGGCAACGGGGGTGGGGTGGGGGAGGTGGTCCTGCTGCCCCCATGAATGGCTGTCTATTGGGGGGTACCGGCTCATCTCTGGAGGACAGCAGATCTGCCTCCTGCCTGCAGCGCTACCCCCGGGAGCCCACCCCCAGGCTGACTACAGGGAAGATTCAGAGCTGCCCCCGGGACATCACCCCCAGGCTGACGGCAGGGAGGATGTCACCTCATGACCAGCGGCAGCTCCACTGGGGTGCGGAGGACTGAGGTCCAACCTGCGAGTGCACCCTCCTCACAAAGGGTTCTGGGGAGGGGCAGGAGCCCTGGGCAGGCTGCTTGGTGCCCACCTGTCTGCGGGTGGACCCGGAACTTCCCCTGCTCGTTCCCAGAGCGGATGAGGTAGGTGATCTCGGCGTTTGTGCCAATATCTTTGCTGGTGGCAAAAACGGTGAGGACCTGGGTGCCAGGGGAGGCGTCCTCGGGCACGGTCACCAGGTAGTCCCTTCTCTCAAACACTGGGGGGTTGTCGTTGATGTCCAGGACGGTGATGGTGACGGTGGTGAGGGAGGACAGGGCCTGGCCAGGGCCCAGGTCGGAGGCCCGCACGCTGAGATTGTGGGACGCCTGCTGCTCGCGGTCGAGTGGCTGCTCCAGCACGATGATGCCTGAGCTGCTGTCGATGGAGAAGAAGCCGCCGGCTGGGTGCGCCAGGGAGTACACCACCCTCCGGTTGGCACCTGTGGGGAGAGGTCAGGGAAGGGCTGCAGCAGAGACTTGCCTTCAAGGTCAGAGGCCTGTACTTATGTTTCTGCAGATAGGCCCGGGCTGGTACAGCATGCAGCCAAGGGCAATGGCACGGGAGAATCCCACTGGCAAACACCATGCATTGCTGCCCCTGGATGACACCCAGGGGCCATGATGTGCTTCCCTCAGAGAAATTGAGGGGTCAGCAGACTGGAGGGGGGCTCTGGCAGCATTTGTTCTCGGGAGGAGGTGGGAATGTCTGCACTGTGCGAATGCCCCCGTGGCCCCCATCTGCCCACATGCCCACGGGGGAACGCTCCTGGGACTGCCCCACTCCTCAGCTGCTTTTCTGCCCATGTAGCAGTGAGAGATGGGAGGCCGAAGAGGCTGAGAGTGCAGAGATGGGGCAGGGAGGGTGGGAGAAGGGGGTGGGCATGTGGGCCAGTACATCGAGGGTCCAGTATCTCCTCTTCAGCAGCCCGGGCTTGTAGTGTCTGGTGGCACCTTAGCAATCATCACCTGGCGCTGCCTGGTGAAGGAGTGGTTTTATCTTTTCTTCCCAAAGCCCTGGTACTCTCTGAGGCACTGTGTCTCTGCAGGGGCTGAGAGACTGTTCACAAGCCCCAACAGTGCACTGAGTCCACAGGCTAGAGCTGTGCCCGTAGGTTGGGATGTGCTGAGTACACGGTGCTCATGGTCTGAGGCCCGGATCCGTCTGCGAAGAGCACCACACTCCACTCTGAACAGGCCTGAGAGAGTGTGTGTGTGTGTGTGGGGGGGGGGGGCACGCCCACTCAAGCGCCCGCTCCACTGCTTCACTGCTTCACGAGCAGGAAGTCCTTAAGGGGAACACCTGTGAGGGGGCGTCCAGCAGGAATGACAGAACAGCCACTGGCTGACAGGCACAGCCAAGGCTCTGAATATCATTCACCCCTTGGATAGACAGAGGACTGCTTCTTCCACTTCTATTTTTCTTTTTCTGACTACTGGTGGTAGCCAAGTCCTGGCTCTTGCATGCTTTTTCTTAGAGCTCATCAAATGGGCACTTCAAAGACTGCTGTTCTGACTCATTTCCTGACGCGGGCACTTTCTCCTACAGCACCACCGTAGGTTGGCTCCTAATGAAACTATACATTCAGCAGGACAAGGAGCTGCTGGCTACTGAAGCTGGGAAGCCAGGATGTCTGCTCTCTGCAGTCCCCTGCCCATGGGAGAGCCCTAAGAACCCAGTGCCCTGCCATCTGTAGGGGGCCAACGCTGGTGGGTGGGCACCGACTCCATGGTCCCCAAGGCTCTTGGGACGCCTGTCTTTGAGCCAGCTGAGTGCCACAGGAGAAGCTGCAGCGAGGGGACGGCAGGACCAGGGGGGCTGCGGGTTCTTTTGTCTCCTTCGCAGCTCTAATGCTCACACCCCACTCTCCTTTGCTGCAGCGAGTGAGTCCGAGGGAGAATGAGAAGCAAACCCTGCGGGGCCACGCTGGGGTCTCCTCAGTTGGTCCCAGAAAGGTGGCCCTGGGCAGAGTGAGCAGGTGTCATGACCTCTGTCCCCAGACCTCACCCAGGCTGCTGGCACAGCCCCCTGACTCTTCCATGAAGGGGTGACAGAAAGTGCCGGTTTCTTAAAACTAGAGTTTTAATCTAAAACTTAAGCACTTCATTTATTTATTTGGCTTGTGGGTCATACGTGGTGGCACTCAGGGGTCATTCCTGGTTCTGAGCTCAAAAATCACATTTGTCTAGCAGTGCTGGATGCCCTGTGGGGTGCTAGGGATCTTCCTACCCTCTGTACTGTCTTCCTGGGCCCCACGACACATCCTGAGAGTCGACAGTGAATGATGGACGTTATGACCCCTTTCCCACAGTGTCGCCAGAGTCCAGAGCCTGCTCTGTGACACTCTGCAGTCCCCTGACCGAGGTGTGTGGGCACCGCAGCCTGTGTTAGAAATGCCCACTCCCCACTCCATCCCAAGCTCTAGAGATGCAGCTTCTGGGGGGGCTGGAGAGGAAAGAGTGAGGACTCAAGTGAAGCCACTGATTTCTCTAAGGGGAAATCTGCAGAGATCCTGGGCTCTGCACTTGTTTTCTACCAATTATCATGGGTTTACTTTTCCTTCGGGCCGATCATTTTTCCTTCAACCTAGAGTCAGGCTGTAAGACACTTGGCATTCAGAATCCCCATGCCCACCCCTCGAGTCCTTTGACCCTAGAGAGCAGGGCTCCCTGTAAGCGTTTTATTATTTATACTCCAACCAGCATCCTCCCACGGCAAGGCAATTAACTCTGGTTTTCTCTAACTCACCATCTCATTATGTGAAGTGGACCTGAGCACAGACTTTATCAGCATCTTTCAATCCTTATTCCTTCTTCCCTCTCTTACCAGCTCTGCCACTTCACATGCAACCTGAGTAGCCCGGAATGCAGCAGTGTGGCCCTCCCCAGGTAGACTGTAGCACACCCAACCACTGGTCTAAGCACTCTGCCACTGGGATCAGATGAGGAGGCCATACTTAGCCAAAGCTGGTTTATTTCCAGAAATGGAAATAAATTCTCCGTGTGACACCTTGTAAAACTTCAAGTATTTCAGAAGGAACAGGCAAGCAAGAAATGGGTTCTTCCTTTTCTAAAGATTAAACAAACACCCCAAGTCTGGGATGAGCAGTAAGGGAGCCCCAAGTGTGGCTCCATCAGACTTCAGCAGGGTGGGGGATACCTGAGGGCCAGGAAGGGGCTCCTCGGTCTGTTCCTGGCAGCGGGGCTGGTCGACAGGGTGACACCATGAAGTGCTCACTTACCCAGGTCAGGGTCCAGGGCCTGCACTCTGGTCAGCAGTGCCTTGGTGGCGGTGTTCTCATAGACACAGGCGTGGTAGTGGTCGGAAGAGAACATGGGGGGGTTGTCGTTCACGTCTTCCAGGGTCAAGTGGATATGGGCCTGGCAGAATCGGCCACCCCCGTCTGTGGCCCTGGCCGTGAGGCTGTATGCAGGCACCTGCTCCCGGTCCAGAGGGGCCAGGGTTCTTAACTCGCCTGGGAAAATAATATGCACGGTTGGCCTGGATTTCCAGAAACTCCCTGAAGAGCAGAAGATGCATGAAAGAATCCAACACTTGGCTAAGGCCCGTGTATTCAAAAAATGGAGCATCTGAGAGAACAGGCAACTCTGGCTGCAGGAAGAAGCCATCAGCACGGCCAGAGCAATAATATAGCAGGGAGGGCGGTTGCCTCACATGCAGCCGACCGGGGTTTGATCCCCAGTATCCATATGGTCCCCCAAGCACTGCCAAGAGTGATTTCTGAATGTGGAGCCAGGAGTAAGCCCTGAGCATTGCCGGGTTCGTGACCCCCAAACAAAAACAAACAATAAGTCCATCAGCCTAAGCTTCGGAGCGTCTCTCTCGGGCGCTTGGGCTCTGGGTTTCTGCCAGTCTCCAGAGAAGGGGCCAGATCTGCACTGGCTGAGGGCCCTGGGGGGCGGCTCCAGGGATGAATGTCTGCCTCAGAGCCTCCTCAAGAGGCAGTGACCTGCACTGACTGCTAGCTGAGTGCTCACAGGAGGGACCAATTCTGTCTTGAGTGGGAATCTTGGGCTTGGTCACCAGGAGGACGTCACCTTCCTAATTGGACTGGCCCCCACGGCTCCCCAGTCCCTGGGCACAGGCTGGGTCACATTCTTATCTTACCCCAAAGCCCTTCTCACTGGACATGCAAGGACCCTGGCTCTGTGGAAGCTTTACATTCTGACCTCAAGTTGCCCTCCTATGCTTCCCACAAGCTCTCTCCAGCTCCTCTCGCCAGAGCCTTTGGGCTGACCGCCCCTGGGTGCCTGCTCCCTGCCCATGATGGAGAGGAGCTGAGCCAATCCAGTACCAGCTCTTCTCTCTAACAGGCTGATCAGAAGCCACAGCTGCACCCCCAGATCTCCCAGGCATTTCAGAGATCTGCCTCCTCTACTGGCGGCTGGGCCCTGGCGCCTCCCTGCATTGCCCGTTAATGTGAGCTGGTGATGAGTTAATAGGTCTATACAGCAGGTCAAGCCTTCCCTTCGCCACAGCTCCATGTCACGGGAGGATGGCCCAAGGCAGCAGCTGCCCTTTCCTCAGAGAACCTTGTCGGCCAGCAGTCGGGCAGGGATGCGGGAGACACGGCTGGAACAAGTGTGGAGGTGGGTTCCGCAGGAAGCTTGGACCTCTGTGGCTATGCTCTGTGCAGGCCAAAGGCTCACACACAGGACACCAGAGCCACAGGAAAGACACTTTGCTGGCCATGGCTAAGGACGAGGCAAAGCCCGACAAGGCCTGGGGCTCTGAGCACCCATCCCCAAAACCTCTGGGATCCAGTGTTATCTGGGCCCCAGACTCCTGGATACTGACTGCCCACTAGTGAGGATACAGAGCAGTTAACCTCTCTCATGGGCTGACAATGGCATGGACCCCAGAATAAATGTCACCTTACCACTTTCTGGATCTAGAAAAAAGTCATTGTTCCCAGATCCATAGAGTGAGTATCGGACATCTCCATTGGGTCCAATATCGGCGTCCCTGGCACTGACCTTCAGGAGAAGCTTATCTGATGCAATGTCTTCGGGAAATGATGCCGTATATGCAACCTAGGCAGAGGCAGAGGGAGGGACGGGGTTACAGGCACTCTGGGGCACTTGGACGCAGACACCGAGATGGGTCAGTGCACTCAGAGCCACCTGTGGACATTGAGTGGGCCAGAGAGCAGCTTTCCTGCTCCAGAGCCACCTGATGGTGGATGAGGAGACTGGCACATCTGTCCCCCACTCCTTGTGCCTGTCCATCCGACAGATGCTGACGAACACTGCACTCTGTTCCAGGCACTGTGTGGGTGCCGGGAGTCTGACCCCCTTCACCCTACCACAGGACCAGATACCCGTCACCCTGGTTGGGCAGGCTTCGGGAGCCCTGGCACAAAGTGGCTACTGGAAGAGCTGTTTGTTGCCTTCAGTGACGTAGGACGCATCAGGGCAAGTGCACAAATATGCTGTGATGCTTTCAGATGCCACACACACCATGGAGCCTAAGGTGAGGAGCAGGATGTGGTCAGAATACAGCAAGCAAGCAAAGCCAGTCGGGCTGGCTCTAGGGCTAGTGCCGAGGCTCATCCTATAGCACAGGAGAAGCCTGGAGACTCGAGTTCTGCTTCCTCACCACCACTCACCAACTGGCCACGACACTCAGCAAACTAAGCAACACAAACTCCAGCCACCCACTGCTCCCTCTGAAATCAGGGACATAGACCAGCTAAAGTTCTCTGAGGATCCTCAGAATGTAACTGGGAAACGTACACTGGTGGAGAGATGGGTGCTGGTACACCATATGACTGAACCCTAATCATGAACAGCTCAGTAAGGGTCTATCTCACAGTGTTCAACAATAAAATCTTAAAACAACAACAACAACAACAACAACAAAAACGTAACCAGAAGACAGCTGGTTGTCTCTGTGCTCTGTGTGTGTGTGTGTGCACGCATGTGTGTATTTGTGCGCACGTGTGTGTGTGCATGTGTGTGTTTGTATGTTGGAAGTGGTTGGTGCTGCTGCTGATGTTCGAGGGGGCGTCTCACCTGGTCGCACACGGGGCTGTTGTCATTCACATCACTGACACGCACGTCCACCATAGCCTGGGTGACAAAGAGCCCGTCGGTGGCAGTGATGCTGAGTGAGTAGTGATCCTGCTCCTCTCGGTCCAGGGGTCTCTTCACGTAGACTTTCCACTCATTCTGCACCAGCCCCAGGGCAAACCTCCCTCGGGGGTTCCCTCCTGCAGAAGCAAAAGGAGTGTCTGGAGTGTGACAGGTGGCGCCTGGCTCTGTGGGACTGCCCCTTCCTCAACCCCCACACATGGCGTCTGACACGGGCCTGTGGGCTGGTCTGGGAGGTAGAACAGCAACTCGCTGAGACGAGGACAGCCCGGGAGAAGCTGGAGACATGTCTTGTTTAGCTCCCCACGAGGACAATCAGACTCACGCTGTGAACAATCAGGCCTCCTCTCTGACCACATGTGTCTCCCACTCAGAATACACACCACGGCTCTGGGTACCCAGACGCTTGTTAGCAGTTGATTATGTAATCAGGGAAGCTTCCGAGGAAGTCTCCTCACAAGCATTGGCTGGGGCAAGTTTGGCAGACGTGCACTCTGCAGGGAGCGGTGAGATCAGCGGCAAGGCCCCGTGGGTCAGTGTCTGTGAGGCCAGGGGCTGACATGAAGGCAGCCAAGGGAGGAAGAAGGAGATGATCTTGACCTCTGAACCCAGACAGAGGATATGTCCAATGTGGAGGAAGACTAGCTGAGACGAGGTACCGAGCCTAGTACAGTCAGGCCTCCACACAAATGCATTCCTCACTTGTGTGGTCACCACTCCAGGCTGTTGGGATAGTCTGTGAGCAAAGGGAACGGCCCCCAGACCACATCCCAGGGAACCATGGGCAGACTCTGGATTATGAGCTTCCCAGGGCTGTGGGCTCTCTTCCCCACAGGGATGCCCAGACTGCAGAGAGCAAAGTGTGGGTCCTCCCAGGCAGAGGGGAGGCAAGAGGCATGCCAGCCTGGGTCAATGCAGGGCTTTGTGAGGAGGGTGGCACGAGCACTGCATGTTCCTCGGCCTCACTCGAAGTGCCACCTGGGACAGGGGGTGAGGCTTCTGTGTGGAGGCCAGGGTGCTGCTCAGCACCCAAGATCCCGACTTGGCCCCAGCAACAGTGCTTCTGAGAAAGAATTTTCTGGCCTGGTCTCCCCACTGGCGAGGACCCCATTAGGCTTCCAGCACTAGGCACGGAACCCGCCAAAGGCTGCAGGTACAGACCCTTGCCTTTCTCCATGAAATGAAACGACGGATGGTTCTTTATTCATCTGTGGCGGCACACAGCCACATTATGTTATATCAAGAGCAAAAGTTAAATCTAATTAAAACCAGTTGGTGGTTGGCACCAGCCACTAATGGGAACAGTAGCTCTAAGCTACTCTGTTCTCATTATTGGGTAAAGTCGATGGGATGGCCCCTTTAAATCATCCACTGAGAATTTGATGTATAAATAATTAAAGCTGAGTACTTAACCGTTATGCTAAATAGAGAAGTATCCCAGAATGCTTAAGAAGCCTTTTGTCTGAAACGGAACCCAAAGACATCCAGGAGGAGTGGCGCTTACCTTTCCGTCTCATCATCTACTGCTCGGTCTGCCACAGACTTACATTTTAGTGAAACAAAGCCAGGAGGCTTCTGTGCACAGATCATTCAGCAGAAAGCACGAACAGGCGGGCAAAGTGCAAGGAGGAGCAGAGACTTGCAGGGGGGCTGGGGGCGCCCTCCCCCATCCCCGTCTGCAGTGATTAATTAACTTGCCCACCAGTACACTTAAGCACAATCTATGTCCTGAGGGCATTCTAATTAATTCATTTTTCACTTTGAATAATGTGGTTTTTCTAAAGGGAAGCAACCTGACTGCAAGTATTGATGGGTTCCTGAAACTCTTTTGGCACTTTGCTTCTCCTCCACGTTGGAATGTCACAAGCATCACAACATTAGCTTTGAAACCCTTGGTGTTAAGATGCTGCTACACCACCACTTGGGCATCTTCAGGGTTTGAGGCCAGGCGCCCTGATCAGCAAGGAGACTCACCTCCACTCCAGCCTAAGAGCTCTGAGTGGCAGCCCTGTGGACACTGGCATCCCAGTGGCCTGCGAGTCTTTCTCTGGAAGGACAGCAAAGCCTGAGAATGGCCTTCTCAGGACAAACAGCCTGGACAGAGCTTGGCCGTGCCACTGTGTTGCCAAGCTTAGCTAAGCTAAGTGGTGAGACTCTGCATGGGGCTCCCTGGGCCCAGCCACCTGCTTCTCTCGCCACTTCCAAAGCATAAAAAGGGAACATCTTTAAAATACATCTTTCCACACTGGGTGCTGTAATTTCACTGTCTTCCTGAACCCATTAGGCTGGACAATGTTCCCATGCTGATGTTCCCAGCGGCTCGTGCTTGGCTGTGGCTCAATGGACACAGACTGCCCAGCACGGATATGTCAAAATGGTCAAGGGTGAATCAAGGGCTGAGTGCCAACATGCCACCCTAAGAACTTGTGGTTCACAGTCCAAGGGTGCCGAGTGTGGGTGAGAAAGACCCTAGCCCCTCTGGCATCCGCCTGCAGAGGTCTATCCACCAGCCCTGCCCCTTCCCAGGCTTTGCTTCCACCGAGGCCCTGCCACCTCGGTGTGGACTTAGGAAGCAGAGCCAGATGGGCAGCTGACCTACCTGTGATGTGGTAGCTCACTTGGCGGTTGATGTCAGAAGTGTCTTTGTCCCAGGTGCTGAGGACAGCCACCACCTCACCTGGCGGGTCGCTTTCTTTCACGCTCCCTCGGTACACTTCATGGGCAAAGATGGGGGCGTTGTCATTTATGTCTGTCACCCGGAGGGACACCAGCGCTGTGGAGGAGAGGGAGAAGGCCTCTCCCAGGTCGGCGGCCACCACGGAGAAGGTGAACGTAGGGTCCGTCTCGTGGTCCAGGTCCTTCAAGGTGCTGATCCAGCCCGTGTTGCTGTCAATAGTGAACGCTTCCATTACCTTTTCGGTCTGGGAATCTGAGTGCAGGGAGTAGGTGACCTGCCCGTTGGCCCCCCAATCCAGGTCAACGGCTCTCACCTGCGTGAGTTTGGTGCCCACAGGCATCCCTTCCATTATGATCGTCTCGTAGTTGGGGGTTTCAAAGATGGGCTTGTTGTCATTCAGATCCAACACCTTGACATCCACGTCTGCAGTGAACACGACGTCCACCTTCTCCCAGGGGATGGTGGCAGCCACTTTGAAGTGGAAAGCAGGGTTTGTCTCACGATCCAGGCGCTTGTCGAGCTTGATAGTGCCTGTGTCCTGGTCCACGACAAAGACGCCCCCTTTGTTATTCTCTGGCCGCTCTCCATTAACTGTGCTGAACCGGGCACTCTGACTGGGCAGGATCTTGAGTGTGTCCACCGTGCTCCCAACGGCAGCGTCTTCTGAGATGGCGAACGAGTACTGGGATTGGGCGAAGGCTGGTAGGATGGTGTCCGGGGGCAGAACGTGCACATAGACAGGAATGAGGGCATGTCTGATGGGCACGCCCCCGTCAACGGCTCTGACAAAGAACGACAGCACCGTGTTCCTCAGTGGGCTCAGCGTGCCCTTTGTGACCATCCAGCCATTGTCAGGGTCAATTTCCAGGAGGTCAGCCACGGAGACGGAGGCCTCGCTGTAGAGGGAGTAAGTGATCCTGGAGTTGGCACCATCGTCGGGGTCTGAGGCTTGCACCTGTGTGACCAGGTGGCCCCTGCCCACATCTGCAAGCACACTGGCCCTGTACTCCACGGCCATGAACTGGGGGGCATTGTCATTTTCATCCACAACTATTACCCGCACGGTGCAGAAGGCTGCCCTCCCACCACCGTCCAGGGCCCTCACAAAGATGCTGATATCCCCTTCCAGAGGGTTTTCCCGGTCGAGCCGCTCGGCGGTGGTGAGCTGGCCATTACCATCTATGAGGAAGCGGTCCTTGGCAAAGTCGTTGATGATGGTGTAGCTCACCTGCCCATAGGCACCAGGATCCCCATCTGTGGCCCGGACATGAGTGACCTTTGTCCCAGCAGCTGCATTCTCTCGCACCTCGGCCACGTAGATGCTCTGGGAGAAGGCGGGGCTGTACAGGTTGGCCCCAAGGACCCGGATATGCACCTGGGCGGTGCTGGTGAACAGCCCGTCAGACACAGACACATTGAGGCTGTAGAGAGGTTCCATCCGCTGCTTGCGGTGGTTTGACAGTGTGATGATGCCGCTTCTGCTGTCCATCAGGAAGCTGGCGTGGTCATTCCCGGATAAGATGCTGTATTCCAGCTGCTCCACATCGGAGCTGTCTGCGTCAGAGGCCTGTACACAGGTGACAAAGTGGCCTCGGGGGGCCAGCTCACTCACATAGGACTCGTAGATGAGCTGGTGGAAGACAGGGGGGTTGTCGTTGATGTCTGAGAGGTAGACGTGGACCAGGACCTCACTGCTCAGGGCCGGGAAGCCGCTGTCTGTCGCTCTAACCTTTAAGGTACAGAGCTGCATGAGTTCATGGTCCAGCATCCGTGCCGTCAGGATCAGGCCACTGGCACTATCGATGTGGAAGTAGTCGGTGCTATTGTGAGTGTCAGGGACAATCTGGTAATGCACCATTCGGTTGTTTTCGGAGTCTGCGTCTGTGGAGATGACTTGCAAGACCGGGGTCCCGATGAGAGATGCTTCCGACAGGGAGGTATTGTACATGGGCTGGTCAAAGACAGGGGCATTGTCATTCACGTCCTTCACCAGCAGATCCACTGTGACTTCAGCCCTGGCACCTGTGATCGCGTCGCTGGCCCTCACGGTCAGCTTGTAGACGGATGTGAGCTCATAATCCAAAGGGCTGACGACTTTCAGGACCCCAGTGTCAAAATCAACATTGAACTGTCTGAGCGGATCCCCATCAATGATGATGTATATGATGCCCTGGCCTTCGGGGCTGGTGGCGTTGATGCTCAGGATGGGTGTGTCCACGCCAACATCCTCACTGACGGATGCCATATAGAAAGGCTTGTCAAACACGGGCATCGCCTTGTTGACAATGGTGATGGGGAGCTCCACAGAGGAGGACAGAGAGGGCTGGCCCCCGTCCTTGGCTAAGACGGTCACACCATACTCAATATTAGACAAATCCGAGTTGAAGGCTTCCTTTAAAATCACATCACCTGAATGAGGGCTGATTTCAAAGTGGCCATAGTTGTCCTGGAGGACATAGGTCACTTCTCCGTTTGCCCCTTGGTCTCTGTCGACGGCTGACACCCGGTGGATCAGAGTCCCAGGCTCAGCATCCACTTGCACAGCAGCATAGTAGGGGAGGCCCACAAAGACTGGAGCATTGTCATTGATGTCCTCCACAGTCACCCTGACCAGCACCCGAGCCACACGCAGGTGGGCCAGCTCACGGCTAGCCTCTACCACAAGCTCATACAGCTCCTGTTCCTCGCGATCAAAGGGGGCTCCAGTGGTCTGAATGACTCCTGAGGTAGATTTTATCTGGAACTTGTTTCCTGGGTTTAAGATGCTATATTTCAGGGGCTCATTAAGGCGATTTCCAACAGCGCTGACAATGGCCACTTTGGTTATGTTCGTGCTGTTCTCTATGATGGTGGCAGAGTAGAGGTCCTGAGTGAAGCGGAGACCACTGTCAATGGCCTCTTTCACCAAGACGGTGACCATGGACGTGCTGTAGAACTTGCCATCAGATACTCTCACAATCAGTGTGTACTGCTCTTTGGAGAAATGCTGGCTTCTCACACTGAGCACCCCGCTCTGGGGATCCAGCAGGAAATGATCCAAACTGCCTTCTGTGAGGCTGTAGGTCAGATCGGAGGGCACCTGTGAGTCAGGGTCGGTGGCACTGACTTTCAGAACCTCCACGCCAACATAGGTGGGCAGAAGAAGGACTGCCTCAAACACAGCCTGGGTGAAAGCTGGCGGGTTGTCATTCACATCCATCACCTCGATGCTGACTTCCACTGGGTTCTCTGCAGTCAGCTGGGGGCTCCCACTGTCCCTCACATGGACGTGAAAGTGGAAATGGGCAATGGATTCGTGGTCCAGGGCTGCAATGGTTCGGATTGCTCCTGTGCTGGAGTCCACTGTGAAGAACTTTTTCGCTGTGGACTCCACTATCTGGTAGACAAGCAGAGCATTCCGACTGCTGTCTGCATCTGTGGCTCGAATGACCAGTGGACCACTGTCCGTACTCCTGACAATGCTGTTGACCGGGGCTGCTTCACTGAGGCTGCCTGAGTACTGGGAAAAGAGGAAGACCGGGGCATTGTCATTCTCATCCACCACCTGGATGTTGACAGTGGCATTGGTAGCCATGCCCGCCATGTTGGTGGCCTGGATGATGAGCTGGTAGGAGGAAGTGTGCTCATAATCCAGTGCTCTCCTTGTGGTGATGGCCCCTGAGTAGGGATTGATGGCAAACGCACCATCCGTGTTCCCGTCTTTAACTTCATAGATGAGGGTGGATTGGCTGATGGCCGAGATCAGGACGACCGATGTTCCGAAATGCACATTTTCACTCACTTCTGCTTGGTAGTCCTTGTGGGAGAACTTGGGGTGTGCGTTATCCGCCATGGTGACTGAAATGCGCACAATGGCTGTGGCAGACATTGGTGGGGAGCCCTGATCTGTGACCTTGACGGACAGGACAAATTGGCCCAGGGCCATCATGTCGGGTTCTTTGGAAACGGAGATGATGCCCAGCACCGGCTCCATCTTAAACGTATTCCCAGTGTTACCTGCAAGAGATGAGAAAGTGAGTGGCCACCAGCCCCAGCTCTGAGCAGGAGCCTGAGCCCTCTGAGCCCGCCCTCCCTCAATCTCCCTTTCCTCCCTTCCTCCTTCCTTCCCTAGGGGCTTACTCCCCGCAGTCCTCAGGCACCAATCCTGCTGGAGGCCTTGGGGACGACACTTCTGGGCTGTACTTGGTGCTTGGTCCAAACCTGTGTGTGTCCAGCATGTCCTCTCTCCTCCGGAGCCCAGCACAGTGCCCGCAGGAAGAAGGGGCCCCAGAACCTGCTGCCTGACCATGATGGAGGAGAGGGAGATCTGGGGGCTGGAATTTCAGCAGAGTCCTGTGTCCCCAACGAAAGCCCTGGACTAAATGGAAGCTCAGGCCTTCTCCTGGGGCCTCTGAGCCACGAGAGGGGCTTCAGCAGTTCTTGCCACAGAGGCAGGAGGGGGTCTAGGCCAGCCCTAGTGTGAAGCTGGTGCTGGGAGCCCAGGTGGAGGGAAATAACGCCCTGCTGACCCTCATTGTTCTGCCTGGGGCTGGAGCTGCCACGCAGAGCTGGGGCTTGTGGCCACCTGCAGCTTCTGGCCCGGGGCCTGTGACCTTCTGCAGCTTCTACCTAGACGGCCAAAGGCAATCTCTTCGATGCCTGTGCTCAGGTCCTGTTCCTGGGTCAAACACTGGGAGAAACCAGCTTTCTCTCTGGTCCGGCCAACTGCCTAGGAAATGACCAGCTTCCTTCCCACACAGGACCAGGTGCTGAGCACAGGGAGCTACCCCCACCCTGGGGTGGAACCTCCTCAAGAGCTACGAGAAGAGGAAGCTTCAGAGCAGCCTCTGTGAGAAACGAGAGATGTACAGCTTAGAAAGTCAGGGAGGAAGTGTACAACTAAGGCCCTGAATCTCAACTGTCGCCATGCCATGGAATGTGTATGCCTGTTTGGAGAAAAGCCCCACAACCAGCAGAGGAAGAAGTGTTGGTTTGGTGGCCTCTTCTGTCACTTCATTTAAACACAGATTTTTTTAAAGAAGCTTCTCTATATTATTTACTGAACCAGAAGAACAAGAATCACATCATTGAAAATTAAAATGTTCTGTGAAGAAGAAATGAAGAGAATGGTTCACGCTTGGACACTCTGGAAACAACAGATGATTGGATAAAGAAACCATGGTACACTAGTGGAATACTATTTGGCCACAAGGAAAGATAAAACCATGCAATTTGCTTCTATGTGGCTATGTGGATAGATCTGGAAAGTTTCATGCTGAGTGAAGCAAGTCAGAAGGAGACGGTCAGACGGAGGATTACCTATCTCGTCAGGGGTGTATAAGAAACAAAGCTGGGTGCTTGCCTTGCACGCAGCAGACCGGGGTTGGATCCCTGACATCTCAGATGGTCCCTTGAGCACCACCAGGAATGACCCCTGAGCACAGAGCCAGGAGTTTAGTCTGAACACTGCTAGGTATAGCCCAGAAACCAAAAAGAGAAAAAGAAACTAGGTAGAAAAGAACAAACGCCGAAAGATAACAGGAACTGAGAGCTGGTCTTATGTAGGGGGATTCCGTTCCTTTCAGCATGGGTTGTGAGGGGATAGGATGGGGGCACAGGGGGCGGGCACTGGGTCAGTGGTGGAGGGAAGCAGACGGTCTGGTGGAGAGCGAGGTGCTGGAGTGTTTTATGCATGAAACTCTACCATTAATGGCATTGTAAGTCTAGAATAAAATTAATTACAAATTCTTAAACAAATATATTCGTTACATTGAAAGGGAATCCCAGAGACCTTTAGAATAAAAATGTGCAAATTTCTTTGGCCATCTGGCAGTTTATTTAATCTTTCTTTCTCCTTCCTCCCTCTATGCCTCCCACCCTCCCTCCCTCCCTTCCTTTCTTCATTCTAAGTCCCTACAGACTACAGAGAGGTCGGTGCCCAATAGAGGAACTAGCTGGAGACATTCATTTCATGATAATAAAATGGGAATGCCTCTAAATTTCTACAGAGAGGCTGGCGTTGCTGTTTCTAGTATTTTCAGTCTGAAACTGTCCCTCCAGCACTCATATTTTAATCTAATTTCTCACAAGATGCCCCGTGTTGAGCCCAGGGCAGCATTCCCAGGGCCGGCTGGCAGGGAGATAGCCATTAACCCACACACCACAGACAAGTGGATGCAGAATGTTTTGGAAATATAAGCGTGGATATTCACAAATGAGAGAAGCAGGAAAGGAAAAGGAGCAGGTGCAGGACCCGCTGCCTTGTGGGCTGACAGGTCAAGCCTGGCCCCAATCCACCTCTTCTGTCATAGGTGCTTTCGAGATGTTTGTCTTCAAGCCATCAGTCAGCAATGGTCTTGCCTAAGCAATGTCAGCATTTGTTCTTACACAGAAATATTTGAACTCCTAGAACAAGAGTCTGGATTTACTCACTCTTGTGTAGAGGGGGAGGTTCAGCACCTCTCAAGCCCTGTCACTCAGGCCCTCTCCTTGTAGGACTCTGTGCTCACGAGAGAGAGAGAGAGAGAGAGAGAGAGAGAGAGAGAGAGAGAGAGAGAGAGAGAGAGAGAGAGAGAGAGCATGGCATACCTGCCTTTGTATGGCCTGTGGGCCCCACGACAAGCAGACAGAGGAAGGCCTGTACACCCTGTCAGATCTTGCAGGAAGGAGGGTTGGGGCTTCTTTAGGCCTAGGCTGAGGCCTGGGATGAAGGGAAGCGTTCCAGAACAATCTGAGATTGAACACAACACGTGGACACTCTTTCCTGCTGTCGGTGATGGGCGACAGGATCACCAGAATGTCAGACCTACATACTGTGTGCTCAGGTGCAGGGGGCAGCCGCTGGGTGCAAACTCCCTTAGGAGATACCCTGGGGGTCCCACCGAGGGCTGGCGGCTGTGCAATCCCTCTCACCTGCTTCGATGCTGTACGTGAGCTCTGCATTCTCCCCTCTATCTTTGTCCAGAGCTGTCACCTGCAGAACCGCGGACCCCAAAGCAGCCGATTCAAACACAGACGCCTCGTACAGTGGGCTGGTGAAGTAAGGGCTGTGGTCGTTGGCATCCTCCACGGTCACAAAGACACGGGCCAGGTTTCTCCGATAAGGGAACTCCTGATCTCTGACCTATAGGCAGAATACAAGAAGCAGAAGCAGCACCAGTGAAAACAAAGGGATAATGCAGAGTGTCTCAGTACATGTGGTGGCACCAAGCGAGGGTACTGGAGAGTGAGTGAGCACCCCTCTGATGGGCACCAGGCACCAGTGTCCTGATCATGGGCCACAGCAGGCCCCACCATCTTGGTCTGTATGGGACTATGAGAGCAGACACAACACAGAGCTTCCTTTGACACTTTCGTCTGTGTAAGGGCTGTCCATGGATCGGGATGGAGGCTCTTCTGAAGAGAGACTAAACATGGGCATCATTAGGTTTGGGGCAGGCAATGTCACCTGCCCAGCAAACATTTGCTCTCACCCACAGCCTGCAGAGCTGCTTGCTGGACGCTGGGGCCTCCCCAGTAATTGTGACTCTTAAAAGCTGACTGTTGAGCCAGAAACCAAACAAGCACAAGGCGAGAGTGGAGTCATGATGGGGTGGGGAGCAGCTTGCCGGAGGAGCCCCAAGGAGTGGAGGTTCTGTGGTGTGGGGGGAGGCACACACATCCGGCAGCAGGGGCAGAAGGAGCACCTCCCTTGAGGTCCCGCCAGGGCCTGCTCTGGGCAGACACCTGCAGGCCCAGGATCTCCACACACACGGCTCTGCTAGAACCCACAAAGCACAAACCTAAAGTCTGTGCTCTGCTGTTCCATGTCAGATGACCGTGACTTCAGGGAGACTTAAGAAATTAGCAAATATCAGCATGTGATGAAAGAGAGGAAAAAATGGAAGCGTTTTTGGAGATGGCAGACAGGAGAAATGAACAAAAGGGACTAGAGCGGCTCAGTTTGGAGAAAAGCTGCATACAGGAGCGTGTGCTCCGAATGGCCACGTGCACCAGGGAAGGCTTGAGAAACAGCCCGAGCGGGTCTGCGCAGGGACAAGCAGATGGAGGGGATGCGACCTGTGCCCACACACTCCTGCCCCTGCCCTGAGGAAGGCTGCAGTGGGCTCCAGGGTCATGGGTGCCCAGGTTTGCTCCGTTACTGAGTCAAGGATTCTTATTCCTGTTTCTTATCACTCTATGCCCCAGTTACAGGGACAGTTACATCAATTCCAAAATTTGGAGGCCTCAACCCCCCGCCTGCCCTGGCAGGTTTCAGTTCTGCTTGGAGACCAGGGTTTGCCACCTGGTCCCATGTTGATGCAGTGATATTTGTGCTCAGGCACCTGCAAAGACTGAGCATCGCTTAGGCTGAGTGAATGACGGCCCTTGTGGGTGACTCCTCCAGGAACCCAAAACTCTCCTACACACACTAGATGCGAAGCAGCCCCACTGCCTATGAGACACCAAGAGACTGTGAGGCGGGTCCAGGTGATGTCTCCCTTCCTCCCAAGACAGCTGTTGTCCGCAGGAAAGCTGCGGTGACAGAAGTGGAGTCACTATGTCAGAGAGGCAGACCTCGGGCCCCTGCAGCTCCCCTGCCCCTCCAGCCAACCCATGGCCTACCATGACGTTGAGGATGTGCCTGTCCTGGGCCTCGTGGTCCAGTCTCTCGGCCGTGTAGAGCACACCGGTGCTGCCATCAATGCGGAACTTCCTCATGCTGGCTGTATCGATGCTGCTGTGCAGAGAGTAGCTCAGCTTGTGTTTCTCATCTCTGTCTGTGGCTTCGATCTGCAGGATCTCAGTGTCCGGAAGTATATCCTCAGAAACGGTCACCTCATAGTTCGACTGAGAGAATTCGGGGCCATTGTCGTTATTATCTAGCACTCTGATAAATACCTAGAGGTGGAAGCAGACAAGAGTGAGCACTCAGGCTGTTTCAGTCATGGGCAGAGAGGCGGGTGCTGCATCACCCCTCTGCCCTCGCACCCACATGGAATTTCAGGAGAAAACACAGAGGAGAGGAGCTGGGGGACAGTACAGTGGCCAGACTCAGTTAAACTCTTGGCTCCTCATAGTTGCCAAGCCTCACCAGACTTAGAGCACCTGAGCATGGAAGGTGCAGCTCTGCAGGGTCCCAGGACCCTGGGGTGGCTGGCCCTCCTCAGCACGAAGGGCTGAGAGCACCGTACCCTGGCACTCTGCTGAACCGCTGCGACGAGGCCCTGATTAGGACCCCTGACCTTCTGAGCTCTGTTGATGGGACTGCTACCCCCCCTCCCGTCATCTGAAAGGAAAGAAGACATGGATGAGAGGCCGCCATGCCTAGTAATGACCCTGTCAGCAGAATCGACTATGAGTCAATCAAGTCTCACTATTTACTGAACAATTCTGATGGCCCCCCAGGGGCCAAAGTCCGAAGGTTTCTCGGAAACTATGTGAGATGAGATGGGGCTTGCCCATCTTGCCTTTGCCCTCTCCTATTCCTGATACCTGTGCTGTGCACTTAGGTGAGTATCGGCTTTAGATCCTGTGACAGAACACACCGGACTTTCTGCCATGGATCCTGGATGGAAACCAGGGCTGGGGACCAGTCCTGCAGGTGTGGGTGACAGGTGAGGACACACATTTTCCTCACCTGAGTATATGGGCAGGTTGGGGGCTCCACCCTTTCTGGCTGTAAGGTGGGGGGGCATATGCTCACAAATGCCAGGACACCAGGCAAAGGGAGCAGCCCTCTTCTGCCCACGCCTGGGCAGGGTCAGCAGGGAGAAACAGCATGCATGCTCAAGTCTAAATCTTCTAACAGAGTCTGTTTTCTTTTTTACTATGGTGGGACCCATATGTGGCAGGCAGTGCTGGGGCTGGAGACGTGGTGGCCATCATTCAACCTCTGTGTGTGTAGAGGGGGGAGGGGGCCATTAGAAGCAGTCTCTGCAGCCTCGGGAGGTCAGTGGCTGAGCGGCTCAGACCACCCACACCCCAGGATACACAGCCTGCGGCCAGGCTTCATCCACTGCCTGACTGGCTGAGAAGGCTTGGGAGTTACTTGAAGAGAATCTTGATTTCATATTTGGCTTGGGGCCACGTAACCCAAAGCAGGGCCTGAACACGAGCCCATGCTGTAATCACAAAAGCAAAGGCCATGTGTTCCTGAATCAAATCCACTCACTTTTTTTTTCACTGTAAATTTTATTTTATTATTTTATTTTAATCACCGTGAGATAGTTACAATCTTTCATGTTTGGGTTACAATCACACAATGATCAAACACCCATCCCTCCACCAGTGCACACTGACCACCATCAATATCTCCGGTATGCCCCCCCTTCCCCTGCCTCCATGTCAGAAAATACTCTGACCATACTCTCTCTCTACTTTGGGGCATTATGGTTTGCAATATAGACACCGAGAGGTTATCACTTTTGGTCCTTTATCTACTTTCAGCACACATCTCCCATCCCGACCAGTTTCTCAAGCCATCATTTTTTTAGTGATCTCTTCTCTATTCCAGCTACCTTCTACCCTTTGTTCATGAGGCAGGCTTCCAGCTATGGAGCAATCTTCCTGTCCTGTGTATCTACTATCCTTAGGAGTCAGCCTCATGTTATGTTGTTTAAAAAGCCACCCACTTCTTAGGTCTTTTGGGCACGAGTCTCTCTGCTGTCTCCGTGAATGCAAACAAAAGCCATCTGCACAGTCTACTGTGGTCACAGGGCACAGCATCAGCTCGGTCAGACACGTGGCCCTCCAGCACCCCACCAGGTGTGTGAGGTGCTGACCTCGCCACGTAAAAGATGATGCAGCTCCCGGGAGGCCCCACACAGCCACCTCCCACCCAGTTGGCAGCCTTGGGGTTTCTGAGGTGCTGGAGTCTGTAGCAGTTTTGCTCCCCGTCCTCACTCGGTGGCACTGTCATTACAGTAGCTGAAGTACAGAGCCGTGGTCTTGCTCGTGGGCGGGGCTTCGCACCCCAGGAGACAGCCCAGGGACCTGCGTGAGTCTGACCAGCTCTGACTTCCTGCCACGAAACCCGAGGCACCAGAGGACATCACTGGGGGCTGATTAGACCCTTCGCCCAGCACTTTACCCTCTTAGAGGGCAGCTTCTCGGTGAGGCACTTGTGGTGTCGGGAGAGAAACCTAGGTTAGCACTTGACACCCGAGTGCCGACACACCTCTCCAACATAGGACCAGTCGTGTATACTGAATGGGCAGTCTTGCCCGCATGCCCACCTCCAGGAAACTGGACGTCATACCTGAGTAAGGGCAACGTTGGTCCCATCGGTGACTTCCACGCTCATGTTATAGACAGACCTCTGCTCCGCATCCAATGGCTTTGCAATGACAATGGTCCCAACACCCTTCTCTGCGTCAAAAGAGCTGTCGAAATTCCCCCCTGGCAGTTTCACAAAAATAACAGTTAGGGACCAGGCACTGGTTACTTGTCCTTAGCATGAAGCTTCAAAGAAAGCACCAAGAGCAACATTTCTGACGGCATCCCTACAGCTTAACTTGGTACATCGTCACTGAGCTGCTTTACTCCTAAGACATCTCAGATCTCAAAACACAATGCATAACAAGTGTCGCCACGAAAGAATAGATGCAACGAGAGTCTCGCAGTGGGGGTACACTGCTGGTGCATGGACGCTGACGGCCCCCCACACCCCCATGTGGCCTCTGTGCTCAGCATCACACAGTCACCCACAAACCAAGAGGAGAGGGTGTCTGCAGACCACACCTAAATCAGACTCGATGGTGAACTTCTGGTTGGAAGAGTTCAGATTCCCTCGATTAAATGTCAGAAATAAAATGGGGAAAACTAGGGAATAGAAAAGGTAAAAAGAGAATTTCATATTAAAAATTCTATACCCACAGGTTGGACTATCTAGAGAAATATTTTTTTGTTTTCTGATCTGTATGCATTATTCTTGTCTCCCTAAAGTAGGAAGTATCTGGAAGATTTCTAGAATGGAGTCTGGAGAGTGAAACACCTATTTATATAATGCCAACTTAGGACACGGTGAACAGACAGCCCGAGGCCCTCCCTGTTGCCCAGTCAGGCCTCCAGGCCTGCACAGGCCTGGGTCCGAGCCCTGCAGCTATCTGCACCTCTGTGAGCCAGTGAGCACCATGGAGTTCCCACAGGTGAGGGAGGTCTGCAAGGGGACAGAAGACAAGCGGTGACTTAACTGGCACAATCTGAGTTACTCTCAGTTCATGCTCCCAAACTCTACGTGTTTCTGAAATTTCACGGTGCTCTTGGACAGGACGGTAAGGTAAGTAGAGCACCTGGCCTATGGATTGAATTCAGAAGACATCTCAGCTCCTCCTACAGTCAACGTTCTTTGCATTTAACGTTGCTGGTCAGTGTGCAATTACATGTGTGCGATTTCTATGATGGTATGATTACAAAGATGCAGACAGTTGGAGGAAAGGAGAACTTTACCTACATTATTAGAGGCTGGGGTGCAGAGACACAAAAGTAACGGTAAGGCTGACTTAAAGGAAAACTTGCCCAGAGGGCTATCTGCAGTGGTAACACTGCTAGAGAGAATGCAGTAGCCAGTGCAGGCAGGGGCCGCACAGAGCAGAAAGGCTGGAAGATGACACACTTTTCAGAACGGGAGATGACACACTTTTCAAAAATTCTATCTAGAAAGGCACATTTTCCAGCCAATAACTAATTTTCTGAGGAGCTGCTGCACTGGATATTCTTCTGACTCAGCTCTGAGGAAGCAGGTTCGGGGAAAGAGGGCTGGGGGCCAGAAAAGGGGCTGTGAGGGACTCCTGGTGATGCTGTAGGCAGGACCGGGACGGTCCACCCATGTGCCTTCAACAACTACCTGACCAGCTGTCCCAGTTCCCTGCTGAAGTGGACTCACCTGGGGCCAAGCAGTCTCCCTCTCTCCTTTCCTCCTCACTCGTGTGAAAGTCACTGAAACATGCCCCCAGTCGAGGCCATGGGGAACTGAAAAACTGCCATGGTTTGTGCAGACCAAAAGATAATCCTCGATATGTCTGGGGGGTGGGGGGCGGTTAATCAGCTTAAGTTTAGTGCATACTGGTTGTCTTTAGAATGTGTTCCTACAAGCTGATTTCTCAAATCTGAAGACCTTCATTTGGGTGGGCGGGGGTGGTAGGGGACCAGGTCACCTTTCAGTGTCAAGTACTCTATGAGGTGAAGTTTGTAGGCCCAGAAACTGCCAGCACGAGCCTCTGGCTGGCCTCACGGTGAAGATGATGAAGAATGACTTTCAGAGGACCACAGCGAAGCTGGAGGTGCCCTATTCTGTGGCATGGCTGTCCAGGGGTGGCCTCAGGCTCACATGTCCTACAGGATCCACGTGGAGGCTTAGGACCCCATGCATGCCCTCCTAGGGTCACTTTTCATATCAAATACAAGCTTGGATACTTCCATGGTAAATTCTGAACAGTGTTTCACTCTCCCTGACTCCCTATGCCCCTTACTTGGTTCAGGGAGTAGGGAGAGCTGAGCAGGGTGGGTATCTACCCCGAGGCGGGCAGCCACAGGCCCTCCTGCAGGACCCTAACTCCCACTGACCCCCAACCTTCCCTGAGTCGCACAGTGCATTTCTGACGAGGGCGACACTCAGCCCAGGAGTTCACCATCAGCCCTCACAAGTATCCCTCGGTCCACAGAGGCCCCCACCCCAATACACACCCCACCCCAACACATACCCCACTCCATGCCCAGGCTCCTTCTGGCCTGAGGGCTGGGTTCAATCACGGGGCCCCCCTCTGGCTAGCAGCATCTCAGCGGGACTGGACGTGCTTCCTCAGAGCCAGTGACACAACATGCAAAGCCAGCAGTGAGAGCAGCGGCCAGGGCAGGGCACTGTGCTGAGGCATGGTGGGAAGCGAGGGTGGGGGCAGCCCAGAGCACAGGCCACTCATGGCAGACCATCGAGATCAGGACAATGCAGCAGAGGTGACAAATGGCGGGAGAGGACGCCAGGCTTCCCTTCTCTCAAAAGGTCCAACTGTCCGAGGGGCTTCCCACAACAGCAGTCAGTGACCGGGAGAAGCACACAGTCCATCCTCCCTACCAACTCCAGGAAAAAATGCCAGCCCGGAAGAGTCATTATCTGAGAATTTCTGAGCCTCAGGACCAAGGGAGCTGTGAGAAACGGGGAGTGAAGACGGGCAGTGGCCGGTCTTCATACTTGCAGGCCGCCCTACGGTTCCATCATGAATTACCTGCCCTGGGGCACATGGTGCCCACAGGCTGGGAAGGTGCTAATGGGCAGGGTGGACAGGTGTGGGGGCAGGGAAGAAAGTGGGGATGAGGATGAGGCACCTGTCCAGAATCTGGAGAGACCCCTGTCCTAGGTTCTGCTTCAGAAAAAGGCTCCGCGGAGGTGCCTGCAGCATGGCTGCGAGGGGCGAATTGGGAGCTGAGAGCAAACAAGACGGAATCAAGTGTCTGATGTCAACTGCATGGCCCCAGGGTCACACGGCCCCAGTGGAGGTCCAGGCCTGGGCAAGAGGCACATTTTCCTGGGCAGAAGGGGAGCCTTCTGGCTGGGGGCTTTCCAAGGCTGAGGTTCACGAGCACGTGGGAGCCACGAGGCAGGATGGAAGTTGTGCGGCGTCTGCAGGGCAGACAGGGGCCACCACCTCTTATGCTCCGCCCTGAGGGGGGATACAGGGGCAGCTGGGGCTGCTCTCTCCAGCAGAGACCCCTTCTCTGGTTTGAGATGGAAAGAAAGCATGGACCTGGGGCAGAGGGACAGTCTCGGGTGTGCTAGGGAAGCAGAGCACTGAACTGTGGGCGCTTACATGTCAGGGGCGGGCACTGGGGCACAGACTGCAGAGGAGGGGCTGGCGGCTGCCTCCCTGCTTTACTGTGGGCACTGCAGGAGGACCTGGCTGGATGGGCACTGTTGGGGAGGGTAGGCTGGACGGGTACGGTGGGGAGACAGAACTGGATGGGCACTGTGGAGGGTTTGGGCTGGACGGGCACTGTGGAGGGACCGGAATGGACAGGCACTGCATATCTGACAGTGATGGAGTCAGGAGAGGCCTGGCCCACTGATGGTGCCCCTCTCGGGCTTGGGGCCAGTGGACACCATGACTAGCCCTGACCGGCTCTGGTGAGCGCAATGAAGGTCTGTCTGGAGGAAGGGGCAAGCCAAAGGTCTTAGCCCTTGGGACAAACCCAGGACTGCTTCCCCAGGACCCTGCGCTCCACAGCACATGGGCCAGGGTCTGTGTCGGCTGAGGAAGGTGCTCCTGGACTCATGGGGAGGGCAGTAGGATGTGTACGCAGCTTCTGGACCCCGAGGTACTCTGAGGGGGCCGCTAAGGGAGATAGAGGGAGATGGCACAGGACAGCATCCAGCTGGGCCCACCCACGCTCTTCAGGGACTTCAAAAGGCCCTGAACCCCAGCCCCGAGGCCCCACACCTGGAACCATGTTACAAAGTGAATTTTCTGTGCTTGGGAAGGGGCTGGAGACTGGCCTGCCCGCCCCAGGACGTGGAGGGTGCAGACCCCCGGCAGGCAGGAGAGAGCCAGCTCCTGGGGTCCCAAAGGAGATGACAGGGGTGTAGGCCGAGCCACACAGGGCCCCAGGAGGTGAGACATGAGGCTCCCAGTGCCAGGAGGGAGGATGGAGCAGGCCTGTCAGTGAGGCTGACAGGGGTCACGGGCATGGCTGTCCCAGTGCTCTGCGGGGACTAGCCAGTCTAGGCTGGGGATTCCTGCTGTCCCATCAGGCAGGGGCCAGGCAGGCATGGATGTCCCCAGTCAGTTCCCATGGGACTCCCTTGGGAGGCCTCCATGCCTGCCACTTCCCGTCAGGGCTGGACAGCCGCTGCCTATCTCTCCTGCTGCTGCTGCTTGCCTCGCAGTGCGTGTGGGGGCTACGGGACCCTTCCCAGAGAGCAGTTCAGGTGGCTCTGGGGGGCACTGCTGCTGTAGAGGGAGGGGGAGCAGCCAATCAGATAAAACCCCCTATCGAGGGAAAGATGAAACACCCACAGACCTCGAAAGCAAAGGAAACAAAAATGTGGAAACCAGCCCTCTCCCGCCCAGACCGCACGCCAGGCTGCACCAGCCGGCACCAGGCCTCACCGGGAGGAGGCAGAGCGGAAAACCGTGTTTAGCGAGTGTGTGCACTAAGGGTACCTTCTGTTGAGCAGTTCTGCCCACAAGCTGTCTGCAGAATAGAGAACATCTCTCGGGCATGCTTGCCGCCTTGAAGCAGGGCAGTCGGGAGCAGGAAAGAGAACAGAATGCAGAAACAGGTGAAGAAAAGAGAGAAACGCAGGACAGCAAGTCCAGTACCATCAATACAATAGGAACGAGCTTAGCCAGTGTGACAGTGGAGTTTACACGACACACACAAACATCGGGGAGCGGTCAGTGGTGCACTGCGGGAAACCGGCCAGCGAGCACGTCCCGCCCGGCCCCGTGGCTGGAACCAAAGCGCAGGGCCGTGGCACATCTTACTGGCTCTCTGGCTCTTGCGCTGCGTCTGGCAGCTCCGTGCTGGTGCGAGAGCGCTCTGCTCGGCTCTGCTCATTGCACCCCCATCCGCGATCACAGTGCCCCCCGTGCTCCGAGGACGCTGACTTACCGACGATGTCGAACCACAGAGGGGTGTTGGTGGGCTGCACAGACACCACCCCAACAATCTCCGTCACACGGTCACTCTCCAGGACAGTGAAGTTATAGAAGGGCTCCTCGAAGGCCAGTGGCACAGGCGACGGGGGTGGCTTCTTGATCCACTCGATGTGGAGGCGGGCTGTGGAGGCCTTTTGCGGGCGCCCATTGTCCACGGCCTTTATCTGCTCCCGGGAGAGAGAAGAGCCCCCGTCAGGATCTCTCCACAGGGGCGGGGAAGGGCCAGGCATGGCCCATGGGGCCCTACCTCCCACCTGAGGCGTGACAAGGGCCGAGCGGTGGACACCAGCAAGGGCACCCTGAGGAGAGACAGCTGCATCCTCACCCTGCTTCTGCAGGACGACCGAGGAGGCAGCGTGAGTGCCGTGGGCAAAGCTCCTCGGTGCTAAGCTCCCTGGAGGGGCTGCGGCGGGTGTAGGAGGGACAGTCCCAGGCCTGGAGCGGGGGAGAGGGGTAGGTGTTGAGGGAAGCAGACAGTCCCTCCGGGGTGTGTGATGGGCCACACCGTGCCAGCAAGAGGAGGGTGGCAGGTGGGAGTGGAGCTCGAGTCAGGGTTAGTCCAGCAACTGGGGAGGGTGTCGGGAGAGAGCATATGCAGGGGCGGTGCCAGGTCAGGGCCTCCACCCAGGCCTGACCTCTGCCCTGTCCTCAGGCAGCAGTGCAGAGGCTGGGGTGGAGTGAGGCTTTTCTGCACCTGAGGCTGCGCCGTCTGTGCCCCTGGTCCCCTGAGACCCCGAGTATGGCTATGCAGCTCCAATGGAGGCAGGCCAGGGTCCTCGGACCTGCTTCTTTGCCACGTCCTGATGACTTTGGAGCCCAGCCTGTGATGGCCGCTACGTGTCCCAGGGGCCGTAGAGGAGGCTGAGGACAGAGGGTCTGGTCACTGGGGCCTGAAGCTCTGCCCCTGGAGGGTAGTGGCCAGGGTCCAGGCTTTAGCCTCTCTCACTTTGGGGAGGACCCCGCTGTGGCCGCCATCTCACATGCACAGCTTGGTTCACATTCTAGCTCACTGCTGTCCCGCCAGCTGGTTCCCTTGGGATGCCCTGGGGATGCCACTAGTGCAGTGGCAGCAGGACGGCCCTGCCAGCTCCCTGCTCTGGCCACTTCGCAGGACCTGGGACAGCAAGCTGAGCCTGTGTGGGCAGGCTGCTGATGGCGCACTGCCCACAGGGAAGGACAGGCAGGAGGGCCCCCTGTGGCCCACCACACAAGCTCCACACAGCCACCTCCTCCTCCTGGGAGTAACCAAAGGAACATGTGGTCAGGAGTGTACCTCTGCTGGGCTCTCACCGTGAGGATGTCGTAGCTGCCTGCTGTGAACTGCTTCCTGGACGAAACCAGGCCGGTCTTGGGGTCGATAAAGAACTTCCCATCTTCGTTTCCATCCACAATGCTGTAGGAGATCTCGGCGTTGGGGCCCTCATCACGGTCAAAGGCAAAAGCCCTGTAAATGGGTTCTCCTCTCTTCTTCCGGTCCCGCTCGGGCAGTTTGATCTGGTAGACCTTCTCCGGGAACTGAGGCTTGTTGTCGTTCTCATCGAGTACTTGGACCAGCACCCAGACCGTCGACTGCTTCGGAGCAGGGCCACCGTCTGCTACCGTCACCTGGGTGCAGAGAACGAGGGGCATGTGTGTGGGGGTGGCTCTGCTTTTTGCCCATGTCCCTGGCTTGCCCAGACCACTGTGCGGGGCAGGAGGGAGCAGGAAAAGCCAAGAACTGCCCTGGAGCAGGCCATGTGCCCACAGCCCGTGCCACCTCTCGGGAGGCAGAGAGGCAGAGGGGATTCACTTCCTGGGTTCTGGGACTGAGAGAGGGGACAGAGCAAAAATGACCCCTTCAGGTGCACCCAGTGGGGCAGCGGAGCACCTGCAGTGAGTCCCCATGGCAGAGGAAGCTCTTTCCCAGGTTCCAGCTGTATGGTGAACCCCGGGGCCTAGCCCCGACGTGGTACCGTGAGACATGGGTCCACGAGGACAGCCTTTGTCTCTTCTGTCCTTAGTTCTAGTCACTGCACAATGAGGGACATGCTGAGGTCTGCACCACCCATCACATCCACCCTCCAGCTTGGCTGTGGTTGCAGTGCATCCAACACAGGGAGAGCCCACTCACGACTTCAGACCTGTAACACACTGATAGCCTTACCCGTGACATCGAGATTAACACACACATTTCATGTCCTTCATGGAACATGTTTCTCACACTAAAATAAGCTGGAGAAAGCAGCATGTTACCAAAAAAAAAAAAAAAGGGAAAAAATACCCAAAGCTGACTTACGAATAGCCGTCCTGAATGGCTCTGGCAGTGACACTGTGCTGCCATGCGATACGCGTGTATAGGCAGCCTGTCACACACATGGATACACACACATACACATATATGTAGCTGTGTGTTTGTAGTGTGCGGCAGGTGTAAATATGTAGACACGCTTTCTCATCATCACAGAGGTTTTTGTTTAGACGCTTTTTAGACTCAGAAAAACAAAAGAAATGTTTAGAGTAGAGGTTAAGTTGACTTTTAATGTTTCCTTGTTATCTTTAAAACATTTCACAAATGTTAAATACTTAATCCTCCCAAGGGAGCAGAGAGGAGGAAAACAACTTTATCTCCTCTGCACAGGTAGAGACTCAGAGAATGACCCTTTGGGAGGCCCAGGAACTGGTGTGGGGTGTGTGTGTGTGTGTGTGTGTGTATGTGTGTGTGTGTGTGTGTGTGTGTGTGTGTGTGTGTGTGTGTGTGTGTGCGCGCGCGCGCGCGCATGCTGGCTAGGAGAACAAGAGCTTCCTGCCTGTTTCCAGGAGGAAAGCCTAAGCTTTGGAACTCGACCAGGACACACAGCAGGGCTGTTGGGCAAAGTGGCAGAGCCTGGATGGGCTTGGTTTTCCTGTGTGTCCATAATCTGCCTGGAGTTCCTGAATACAGAATCCTCCTACTCCTTAATTCTCAGCCCAGTGCTCAGGAGCCCTGAAAGCACCCCACAGCATGTCAGGGCCTGGGCCTGCCCTTCTGTGTCCTCTCCCAGACGTGCTGAGAAACTAGTTTGTACAGCCCTGGGGGCATGGGCAGGGGCCCTGCAGTAGCACTTGTTAGTCAGTAAGTGTGGGACTAAAGGTAGTTCCTTCTGATTTCCTAAGACCTTACACTGGGGAAGAGATTTACCACCTGCTTCCTTTAGGAAGTCATTCTGATTTTGTTACAGTGTGTTATTTTAATTTGGAGTCAGTAAAAGGATCTTAAATTGCTAATAAATTAGGCAGATATCCTGTTGGAAACAAACATTGTTCATTATCCCATTAACAGAGCTTCTGACAGAGAGGATTCTTCATTATCTCACAGGGACAATCCCCCAATACCTCACATGGATGACCCCAATGAACAACTCACATGGACAACTGTTCATCAGTCCATCAGTCACATGGATGATCCCTCAACACCTCATCAGGACAACCCTCTGTCACCCACACCTGTGACCTCCCAAGCAACACTTCACACGGATGACCAACATCTCACATGAATGACCAACCAACACCTCATATGAATGACCAACAACACAAATGAATGAAATTCCATCAGTCACGTGGACATCCCCCCAATACCTCAATGGATGACCCTACAGTCACATGAAGGAATCCCCCAACACCTCACAAGCATGACCCTGTCACTTAGATGGATGCCCCCAAAGCCTCACAAAGATGACCTCCCATACCCCCATTATTGCACATGATTATTTCTCTAGGTCTCAAATAATCAGTCTCAGATTAAGACCTTCCCTTTTAGCAATGTTCTGGTATATATTAAAGTATCTCCAAAGCAGAGACACACAAATGGCCAATAAGTACCTAGAATGGTATCCAACATCACTGGTTCTCAGGGAAACACAGATGCATGGCAAATCACTGCCTTGCCCTTTCAGTATGACAGAAGGCTGCCTGCAAGGGAATGGAGCAAAGGGCCCCTTTTTGCAGTACTGGATGATGTAAGTGTGACAGCCGAGAGTCTAGAAGCAGATGGAAAGGACCACTACAGAGCCCTACTGTAGGGGATGTTTTCTTTGCAAACTTGCTTTCATACTAGGCCATGTCCCTTTACACATTTAACAACAAATCTAGAATTATTTTTGCAGGTTCACATTGAGCTCCCAGTATACAGACCTGATGCTTCCATCCTTCCAGGCCTGGTGGTCCTTGGGGGCTGCCAGACTATATCCAGGAGTACCGGGAGGTCACACAGTTCTGGGGATCAAACTTAAGACCTGGCGCATACCAGTCACATGCTCTACTGCTTGAGTCCTACTCTGGACCCTTGGCAATGGCATTCATTATTTTTCCTTTGAAACTGTAAATGTTTCATGGTAACAGCACTAATGGTTCTCCTGACTTTCTGTCCTAGTCTTTCCCTCCCTCCATCTGGCACTCATTCCTCACAAATGCCCATGTTTGTCAGTCTGGCACACACAGAGATTTCAGCTTCAATGTGTCTCTGGCTGTAGTTTTGTGAGCACAAGGCCATAGAGAGCAGTTTTCCTGACAGTGACCTCAGGGATGCTCTGATGCAGAAGATTCTAAGCTAGTGCAAAACACTTCCCCAGGAGACCCCCTCCGTGAACTCCCCCCGCTGGATGCCTATTCAGCCAGAGCTGCACTTCTGCCTGACCCACAGGAAAGTGGCTAAGACCAGCCCCTGGGATGGGAAGGTGTGAATGTGACGCCCCAAGTGTCACATGAACATTTCAAGGACAGTGGCGTGAGGATGTCTGTCTCCGCCTTTGGCACAGGCAGGAGGGCGTGAAGGGCACAGAGAAGGTCTTTGTGTCAGGGGGACTGTGAAAAGGCTTTCACCCCAGAAACCCCGGGCCTGGTGTTTGATCACCCACCACTGCCGGAACCTTTGCCTGCTGCCACCACGCGGCTCTGTCCAGTCGCTATCGTCCTCCAGACAGGGATCAGAGCTGTATTGCCAGAATCTCAGCGGTGCTAAATTGACCCTTTGCTGCCTACATCTGCAGCATTTCTGACAAACCCCTGGATTAGCCCACCCTTTCTGGAACAGACAGTTTTCTTTCTTCTTGCCTACTGGCAAACATCTCTTCAAGTTCCAATAACAAACGCACTGATGTCCCCCGCCCCCAGCTATTTATAATTTAACTCACTTAGGAGATCAAGAACAGCACCTTTAATTATTAAAGCAAACTGGAGCTTCAGTAAAAGCACAGGGATGAAGCACTGGCCCTGCATGCAGTAACTGGTTTGGTGACCGGCATCACATATGGTCCTCCACACACTACCAGGAGTCACTCCTTGGCTCAGAGCCATGCTGGGTGTGACTCCTCCCCTCCACAAGGACCAAAGCCACCAGCCAACCAGCCAATCCCCAACTACTGTTCTGCTGGAGATCTGATGGGGACTCAGAGAAGGGAGCAGCTTGCTGGGACCCCAGTGCCTTCCCTCTGCTTCAGGGAAGACCATAAGTCACTTTGACCAGCCAAGCCACCAGCCAGACCCAAGCCGTGAGTGGTCAAGTCTCTGGCATAGGAGCAGCCGAGTGCAAGGCCCATCCATGCCCAGACAGCACAGTTGAGGCTGCGTATCTTCCCTTGTGGGGATGTCCTGTGCATCTGGAGGGTCAGGATCAGGCCTGGCCTTCACTTTCAATGATCATTGTGATGACAACAATTCTCCACATTTGACTCAGGGCTGTCCCTGGGCAGATCGGGGCCTCTGGCATTCACAGACAGATTTCTAAGTTTGGGAACATCAACTTCCCAGCATGCACCGCCGACTTGATTGTTCTGAGATGGCTGCTTATATTTATACGTTTGTGTGATTTACACATTTAATGTATGGATAACTGTTCACAGTTTCACTGTGCATACTGTTCTGTGTCTGACCGCTGGTCTGTGTTGTGTTAAATATGCTCTAAATATTCAGGATTAATGACATGGACCTCATCTCCCAGTACTGGTCATGGGGAAGTCCAGTTGATCTCAGCCCAGACTCTGGTGGTTGTGCTGAAGTTCGTGACCAGGAGCATCAGTTCTGGAACAAGAAGAACAGGGAAGCACTCTCCGAGGCCAGCACATGATGCTGAGTGTGGGGTGGGTGCTTCTGTGGGGACAGGGCACCACCTCTGGCCAGCAGAGAGTGGGTAAGGCAGAGGGACAGGAGTGAAAAGGAAAGGACAGAGAGGAGAAAGAGCAGGGGTGATGGGGAGCCGCCCCCCACCTCACCGGCAGCAGGAAGGGCTGGTGAGAAGTGCAGATGCTGGGAGTAGTTGATTATCCACTTTGTTCTCCGAGGGTACCAGGTATCCGAGAAAGACAAATGGTTAAAATAAAATCGATATGCTGAAATACACAATATATAGAAGGATCAGTTGCTAAAGCTAATTTACCAAAAATCAATGTGCTAAATTTACCAAAACATTTTCTCCCTGTAACTGTTTATAAATGGAACAGATCACATTTCGCCTTGTGGCTGAGGGGCTCTGGGAGGTTCTCAGAAAGCTTCGATCCGTGGCTCTCATCCCACAGGTCCAGGGACCAGCAGCTGAAACCTCAAAGTGAGGCGAATGTGGTTAATTCTGTCCTAAGAGCAGTGTGGGGGGAGGA